ATCGTCATTCGTTTCTGTCAGTTGCATGCCGGGAGCCTGCTTTTGTTGTTCTATGTAGTCTCGCTCCCATGAATTGCGTGTTTATTGTGTGCATCATGGAAAAGTTCTTTGCTGTCACATTAAGAGACAAATCTTTAACGGACTAGTACTTTTTATAATTTTAATTGTTGAGTGCAAGCCGTCCTGCAGACACGCAACATTTCCAAGTGAAGTGATTACTTTATAGAAACTTCTTATACCTTTACCTATACGTGTTTAAGCCTATAAGAAGTTCATTTTTTTGCCTCAAATAATGTTGTATCGAAAAACTGGTCTAGGTGTAGTAGCAAAAATAATATATGAACTGTAAATTTTAGAATTCCATCCTGCTGAGAGGATCTAAAATTTCTGAATTCTGAATCAGTGAATCATGTGAATGGAGAATTTCTGTATTACTCAGTATAAGTATTTGAATGTTAAAGTTGAAATATTTTGCATTGGCATAGGTAGCTAGCTAACTGCATACCTAAATAACAATCTGACATTGTTTGCCCTCAAAGTTATTTGACCTTAAACCTCATTTATTCCCAGTCATCTATAAAATTATAAAAACCATCTATTTTAAGCAAATTAATAATTGATACCTGGCCAATTTGTATTTTGGAGTACCCTCAAATTTGGCCGCAAATTGGGTACCGTAAAATGGGGTAACTTTGACCGGCGGGGTAACTTTGACCACTTTTAGTTTTTTTAACAAAAACCCCCAAAACTCAAAAATGATTCGACATAGAAAAATTTTGTCAATGGCCATCAAAGGCCTAATACTGAGGCTATGTAACACAATAGAAAGATTTAAAAAGTTTGCATATCTAATAGGTTAAAAAATTAAAAATGTGACCCACGAAAAAGAGCTATTATTTAAAACCTGTCGGAGTACCCCCTCCAATTTTTATTTTTTGGTAAAATAACTCCAGGTTTTGATGCATTGTAGTAGAACTCTTCTAGTTGCATATTCAAAAGACAAATTTTGGAAAAGTGTCATAGTTTGCAAATGGGGGGTGCCGCCCCCAATGGGGTAACTTTGACCACCTAATGGCAGCTGTGACGGGTTAACATTGACCAGCTTGGAAATTAAGTTAAAATTACCATAGGTACCTACCTATATAACATATTTTATGTTTGATACACCTATTAATGTTTTTTTCTTCATGTTTCAGACTACAGAGTCTTATATATGGTAATTTTAACTTAATTTCCAAACCGGTCAATGTTACCCCGTCATGGCTATCTAGTAAAAAAATGGCATCATTTTGAAAAAAAGTGGTCAAAGTTACCCCAGTTTACGGTACCTAATGAGGGACAGGCATGGGTAGTAAAATTGGACAGTCCTCCATCAGGGTAAATGAATATTATAGCAGCAAAACTAATTAAAAATTGCAAATCTAAATATCAGCATAAACTTCAACATTTTTCCTATCTATAAGCATTAAAGCATGAAGGAAGTTGCAAAATCATTCATTTACTAGCTTTAAAAAATCCCAGAAGAAAATGTTGAAAATTGTTATTTTGAAAAGGTAATTTTGCTTAGGTCTGAAGTAAAAAAATATTTGCCAATGCCATAGTAAAACATTTTGCTTGGAAAAAAGTTGCAGACAGATGTCAGCTTCAAAACGTCATTGACAGAATTTTTTTACCTCAAGCCAAAACCAAATGGAGGCCATTTCGGCAAGATGGGAACATGGGGTAGGAAGGGGCACCTCCCTGAGATAATATGGGATGGCCCTAAAAAATAAAAATCCATCTACAGTTGAACCATGTTTAGAAAAGGCTCCCGTTAACAAAAAAAATTGATTACCAACAAATAATTTTGATTACATTTACGCCTCCCAGCAAATAAAAATTCACTTAACAAAAAATTAATGCATCATCAGTCATTGTTGAATTGTGCATTGAATGCCATAGATGGAATTGTACACTGGGCAACATAGAATGAAAAATAATTGACCTAAACTGTGATTAATTTCTCCAAAAATATGATGGTTGTCACCACAATATTCTTTTCTGTTCCAAGTATGTTTTTACAATTTTTTTTTGTTATAGTGAATTCACTTGACCCTATTAAAATGTTGCAAAATCACAAGCCCAGTCCTGTAAGCTTACAGAGACAAGAAATGCTATATGGGTGCTGATATGAAGCTTGCAGTGGACAAGGTTGTTAATGCTCAATGGCATGTCTATGGATATGGTAATATCACATCAATAATATGGTAAATAATGGATATGGTACCAGTACCTACAACATTTCTTCGAAATGTTGGAGGCACGTCCCGATTTACCCTGCCTGTCCCTTTTTACCCCGTTTGATGGTACAATTTGTTCAATTTCACAATTACTTCTGACTTACATTATTCTGACGTAATACAATTACTTCTGACTTACATTTGTTCAATTTCAAATAATGTGTTTAGCACCATGCTTCATTATTTTTGTGACTCGTCTACTAGTAGTACTCCTAGCATTTTTTGCAGTCCTATTTTTAGATATTTGCATCCTAGTATCCTCATGAAGAATTTGCTATTTATGTATTTAATTGCAGTCAATGCTTGTACATTATGTGAATCAATATTGCTTTGGTACCTATGTAGTGGATGAATGTTTCTTTGGATGTAATCTGTTTCAAACAAGTACAAGAGCTCTGTTTGCCTGTTATTTTTGTGCAGGAATAAAAGTTTAAACACAAGTGGTTAATGACCAGAGAAATCATTGATTTAAATTTTCAGGATCGAACAATATTCTTCAGTGGACGTTGGTTGATAATCTTGGAATAAAAGTTTATGTATGAATTGAAGTTTGATATACCTATCTATGTTGCCATTGGGTACCTATATGACATGTTTTCTGAGCAGGACTTCTTAAGTTCTTAGTGACTTTTAGCAGAACTTATGACTACCATTTTACTAGTTTCAGCAACTAGCAAGTGTTGAATGTTCTTTGTGTTTTTGGTGGCAACACACAAGTCAGACCTAACTCATTATTTCAAAAGTTGCACATAGTCTTGCTTTAATTAACAGCCTCTTTTATAACATCTTTAGGAACATCTTTTGTTTGGAAAAGATTTTATTTTCTTTTACAATTTTGTAATGGGATATTCTATCACTCTGAATTGTCTGTCTTATACTTACTCTTCCAGAAAGAATAGAAAATATTTTTGATGGGGGGTTTGTAGGTACTGTTTTCTGCCTCCCAGCTAGTGACAAATCTGTGAAATGTTCATTCCAGGAGCAGAATGGGCTAGCATCAACAGAGGCATCCTGGTATGCAGTGACTGCTGCGCCGTACATCGTTCTTTGGGGCGTCATGTGTCCCAGATAAAGTCTATTCATGACAAGGACTGGCACCCTCACACATGGAGTGTAAGTGGCCTTGGTGTATTCTCTATATTAATTCTTTAAATGTTCATGTGGTTGAGGAAAGAATATGATTTAAACTTGAAATTTTTGCCCAAAATGACCATGCATCTGCCACCTTGGTTTTGTTTGAGGCAATGTTGATGCATTTTGTTAAAATCTGTTTTTTTTTGTTAGAAAATTATATTGTTATTAAAACACATTTGCTGGTCCTTACTTATATAAATATATACGTAGGTAGTACATGAATGCAGATGGCAAATATTTATTTCTACCTTGTGAATGTTACCTTGTGTCAGAATTATATTTTATGCTACCTGGTTTATAAGACCTTATATTTTAAAAAAGAAAGTTGATAATAAAGTCGATAATAAAGTTGATAATAAAGTTGATAATGAAGTTGATTATAAAGTTGATTATAAAGTTGACTATAAAGTTGATTATAAAGTTGATTATACAGTTGATTATAAAGTTGATTATAAAGTTGATTATAAAGTTGATTATAAAGTTGATTATAAAGTTGATTATAAAGTTGATTATAAAGTNGATAGAGCTGTCTCTTATACACATCCTTGTTTACAGCTTGTAAGTCAGCTGAGCAATGGAGGGGCAAATGGTGTGTGGGAACACACGCTCCTCGACCCCACCGCAGCCAAAACTAATAAGAAGAAGCCCAGCCCCTCTGATCCCGTGCAGTGAGTTGCTTCATATTTATTTCATATGACACTGGAAGTTTCTTGATAAATATTGTTTTAACAAAATCTACTCTCAATTAACATCATATCAAAGTCAATTGGCTATAGGAAGGTTAATCATTTTGGCAGATATACGGTAGGTAGGTACCATATATTGATGAAAATAATCAAAGTTCAGATTAAAGTACACAAACACCACCCCTGTATGGTATGTAATCAAAATGTTAAGTTTCTCCTATGGACTGCTTTGAGAATGATGTACAGTTTGAAAATTGACTTTATTGAGATTCAAAGGTTTGGGAATTTGACTTCAATAGAATAAATGTGTTACCTTGATGGCCATGGAATGATTTATGAGGCTGCTTATGCTAATTTGCATTATCTTACTCTTGTTGTATTTACTACTACTATTTTCATTTACCATACTTCGTAATCTTCTGAAAATTATACCTACATATTTATCAGGACTTGGAGAGTCTAGCACCAATTTTTGGGGTTGTAGTGCCCTCAATATTTATGAATTTAAGTTCTCAAAAAATCTAGTTCAGAAATTTTAAAAATAATTTAATAGTTTTAACTCAAATTTAAACAATTTGCTCATTTGTATTGTCATAGTTCAAGATTATACAGGGTGACAAAAAAAAACTGCTAAAAGTAAAGGCTTATAACTCGAAAAGTAGGTAGGTATTGAACGTAGAAAGATGAAATAAATACCACATGAAAGAGTACCTATAACTTCAAGTTTGATTTGGTATCCATGTTACCAAAGTTCTCTATGCATTTCATAGTTAAAACTCATTATTTTTTAAGATCAAGATTCACCCTACAATTCAGCTAAATTCTGAGCAACAAGTTTTCATTGTCGAACAATTTTAACTGAAAACTTCACCAACAAAACTAAAGAGAGGTTATTTCACCAAATACTGACAAGAAGTTAATCTCAACACAATCAAGAAGTGGATACGTCAGTGGAAAGATAAAGGAACAATCCTGAATCAAAACAAAGGTCATTCTGGACGGCAAAGAACTGGAAGATCAGAAGAAAATATTGCCATGATTGAAGAAAGAATTAATGAATTGTCTTTGGATTTCTTCCTATGGAGTTACATGAAAGAAAAAGTGTTCAGTACAAGAACAAGCAGCATTGACAATTTGAAGATTAGCAATTATTGAAGCTCTTGCACTTATTGACCAGGATACCGTACTTTGTCTGCAGTAACCGCACATTTTGAAAAACATATTAAGCTGTGTCAGCAAGGAGGTCATTTTCAACATTTATTGTTATCTGAATAAAACTTGAAGTTATGCTCTTTCATGTGGTTTTTATTTCATCTTTCTACGTTTAACACTTTTTGAGTTAGTAAGCCTGTACTTTTAGCAACTTTTTTGGGTCACCCTGTATAGATATTAGTTTTGTCACGTTATTGATATCGATAAATGTTTTATCACATTTAGACAACAATGACTCTTCCTAATCATATTTGTTGCATTTACAGTCCAGTGAAGGCAGACTTCGTGCGCTCAAAGCACCACAGGCTGATGTACATGCTGCAGCCTCCTTCTCCCTCCCCACCTCACCCTGCCGCATCCTGCCTCCCTCCTGTAGGAGGTGACGAGGATCCTCGGGAAGGCAAGCTGGGACCTGCTGATGACGAGGAGCAAGATACTCTCAGCCAGGAACTGCACAGCAGCGTCAGGACGGCCAACCTCGAGACCTCGCTACGTCTCTTATCCCAGGGCGCCGACCCAAACTATTTTCATAAGGTTAATTAGCCGTGCTGCCCTGTCTTCTGATACGGTGTTGGTTTAGTGAAGCTTGTTGCAACCTAGGGGAACCTACTTTATTTAGAGTTGGTTGCATTGGTGTTCAAAGGCATTTCCATGAACTAACACCATGAAAAACTTCCGAAAAAATTCCATGAACTAACACCATGAAAAACTTCCGAAAAAATTCCATGAACACGTTCCAATTCCATTCCAAGTTTTCCATGAAAACTTCAGATTTATGAGTCAGCATTCCCTCTGTAGTCACTTAGAGAAACCAAAATTTTAAGCTGTACACAAGTTTCTTCTCGCCTGAAGTGATGGACATATAGGTATCTTCTTGCAGAATATTTCGGGCTCATTTCATGTTGATTTTTAAATAAATAATTTGCAACAGGTACGGTACATTTTTCCTTCATGTACTGACGAGTTAATTTGGAATCTAATTACGGCAATGATCTTCGTATATACCTATCAATGCATTTGGTTGGCATATCTCGACCATACTTATCTTGGCAATACTTGACATATCTCGATGCCATCTCTCACGTAGGTATTTGCCATAACCATTTATTATGGCTTTTTCAGAATTGGTTTCTGTTTTGAAATCGATAATAATTTCTTCAAGTTTCTCAGTAGCCATCAAAAATTTAGTTTAGTTATTTATTTATTATTATTATTTCTTCAAAGTTGAATTCTAGGTTTTCTTCTCATTTAATGCCTGAATTAAACTGAAAAAGATCAATCAGTACTGTATTGCAAATAAATTGTGAAGTAGGAGCAGGAATGAGTAAATGTAGCTACTTATATATATATAAGTGCAAATCTATTGTGGTATATATATAATTGCATATCTTGTGTATCTATATATTGCATATGTTAACTCTGGTGGCAGAAGCACACATTCTCCGAATATCGAAACATTCTCCAATGCTCTCATGTGCGTGCACGCAACCGTTGGTGGGGGTTTTTCTTCAATTATGGAGTATCCACCGTATTATTATGAATGAATGAATGAATTAATGGTCATCCACCTTCTCCAGGACCGCAGTAACTTCCCTCTGCACGTGGCGGCGGCGTCAGGGCAGCCGGAGCAGGTGGAGCTGCTGCTGGTGCATGGAGCGCTGCCTCGCAGCCTCGACTCTGCCAACAAAACTCCTGCTCAAGTCGCATTGTGTTGCTTAAACTCCTGCTCAAGTCGCACAGTCAGTGTATTGTGTTGCTTAAACTCCTGCTCAAGTCGCACAGTCAGTGTATTGTGTTGCTTGTTGCTGCCGGGAGAGTGGTTTGTGTTGTGCTACAACCCTCGATATTTTGAAAACGGTGAATTTCCTTGGCGTTTTCTTTGCTTTTGAATTCCATGTGAATTTGCAATATAAGCAGACTGATTACTATTATCAGTCCTTTATTATTATTTGTACAAAAATATGTACCTACCCTGTTGTGCCATAAACACAGGGTACAAAGGGTACAACAGGGTACAAAAATATGTACACTGTTGAGTTATTGATCCCAGGTCACGTGAACGCTGTTATGTGAATACCTCTGTCGTATAATCTCTCCATGCACAATATTTCCTTCTTTATCCTGTATTGTTCCTACGGCATTTCTCTCTCCACGTCTTGATATATTTCTGATACTGCTATGTCACATAACGGTATATGTAATATGAAATGCCACGTATATTTCTATTTACAACAAATTGTTGTTTTTCACTGAAACTAGTTTGTAGATACTTCAAGGCTGTATGCATGTTATACCGTCGGCTATTGTGTTTTATCTGAATTCTATTTCATGTAATTCATAGTTTTAAATTTCTGTGCAAATTATTTTCAAGATAACTTTATTTACCATTAATAGTGGTATCGATAGAATACAACTCAAATATTTTGATATTGGAGCATTTTTTATTATTATTTTGTATGATTTTCTATCAATTGAGATCTGCAAATATTTCTCAACGTTTGGTACCTTAGATTGATACATTCAAGTAAATGATGGAAACACTCAACTGCTCTGACCAAAAAAAATTATCTCTACAAAAAGGCATCCAGTGTTTGATGTCACAGCTCTTTATCGTTGAAGATTTCTCCACCAACTCTGCGTGACGTCACGTTATCTATATTGATATATGTCGGTATCTGAGAAAACTTCTACTCGAGAAAATGAATGGGTCATTGTGTGCAAATAGTGACACCTTCTTGCCCCCCACGTGAGCAGAGAGTTTAAGTAGAACTGATACGGTACATCCTTTAGCCGAGTCAAAGTAGATCATAATGACACACATAGAGGTAAACGAGTCTTCTTATGTAGGTAATGGCCCTCGTATTCGTCTGAATGTAGGTGCCTAACGTAGGTAATTATGTAGGAACTGGTAAAGAGCCTCTTATTTCTCTGGAGGTAGGTGCGTAATGTAGGTAATTATGTAGGTAATGGCCCTTCTATTCCTCTGTATGTAGGTGCGTAATGTAGGTAATTATATAGGCGATGACCATCTCATTCCTCTGGATGTTGGTGCGTAATGTAGTTAATTATGTAGGTAATGACCATCTTATTCCTCTGGATGTAGATAAATATGTAGGTAATGGCCCTCCTATTCTTCTGAATGTAGGTGCGTAATGCAGGTAATTATATATATTGGCGATGACCATATCATTCCTCTGGATGTAGATGCGTAATGTAGGTAATGATATAGGCAACGACCATCTCATTCCTCTGGATGCGGATGCGTAATGTAGGTAATGAGCCTGTAATTCCTCTGGATGTAGGCAATGACCATCTTATTCCTCTGATTGGTAGGTGCAGTGCCAAGTTTTAACTTCTCCATAACCAACAGAGCGGCCGGGCACGTCGACATAGCAAACCGCCTCATGGACGCAGAACAGGAGCTGGTGCACCGTCTCGTCTGCTTCATCGTAAACCGGTCCCAGAACCGCGCCCCGCACTCCGTCCCCTACCGTCGTCCCGGGTCCATGTTCCCCGCGTCCTACGACGGCAAGACTGACAGCTTCTTCCTGCCTCCCAACATCATCGCTCAGTACCAGCCTGCCACTGAGGGCGCGCGACAAGCCCGAGCTAAGCTCATCACCATACCAAACGCCATGCTCGAGGATCTTGCTACTGACCTTTATGATGAGGTGAACCTGGTTTCTTGTTAAGTATGTCTACTGATTTATGATATTTTTCAGCATTGGTTGTTAGACATTGTGGTGGCAGAAGCACATCTTAGCCTGGTATCTGTCTTGAAATTTCTGAGGTGCAATTGTTTGTCTTCATTTCAGTTCTACCGGTCGACGCACCTGGATGACCTTTAACAATTTCTCATTTCATGTCCTAGTCATTACGATCAATAACTAGAATATTTATTTGGCTCCACGTCGATTGTTTGGCGCCGTCCAGACGACTCTGTGCTAACATTCGTTCCTTGCTCTACCATGTCATTCTGATGTCGACTGGGCCGCTCTGTGCACCTCAAGGTTCTGAGGTGTTCAATACTAAGGCATTTTTGTGGCGTGAGATTAATGTCTTATTTTATTCTATGTCTTATTTTATTCTTCCTTGTAATTCTGACGCTTTGGAACTGCGGCTATTTACTGTGCTGCAACCTAATAACTGAAAATACCCAATTTATTAGAATATTTTGGTGAACGTATCCCCATATATTATGAAAACCTCAGTTATGGTGTGTAACCTAACACGTTGACTACGAAGTGGTACATATGCGTACCACGAAATGTATTTCTCCAGGGCGTACCTAGTGGTTCATAATTCAGGTTGCCTAAAATTGGCCAAGTCCGAGAACAAAAAAGGCCGATAACTCAAAATATACTAGTTTATTTGTAGGTTCTACTATAAAAATTCTATTTATTTTCTTTTTGCAGTATTTAAAATTTAATTAGGAAGTACCCATATCATAATTTTTAGCCGGCCAACGCAATTGAGAAATACTAAATCACGGAATTTGTCCGGAAAAAATGACCGTCTGGCAACCCTGCTTGAAAAGTACAAAAAATGAAATAATAGAGGGACCGGTGCGCTGTACCGTTCCTGCCCGTCAACCCGCTCTTCTCGGCCACTCGTAACCAAGCCAGGCAGAAACTCGCCATGTATGCAGTCCACGACTTTATTCTCGCTGTTTCTTGGCGATTTTATCATCATTGATTCGCTATAGCATTCCATGACTTTCTTCTCGCTATTTACTTACGATTTTATCATCATTTATTTGCTATAGCATTCCATGACTTTATTCTCTGCCACTCGTAATCAAGCCAGGCAGAAACTCGCCATGTATGCAGTCCATGACTTTATTCTTGCTATTTACTGATGATTTTAGCATGGTTTATTCGCTATAGCATTCCATGACTTTATTCTCGCTATTTACTGATGATTTTAGCATGGTTTATTCGCTATATGTGTTAGGTGTTCTATGTATGGCAATATTTAATAGAGTTGGTACTATATATCTCCCATTTTTTGACGATCAGTGGAGAGCAATGTGCCAATTCCTCAAAGTAACATTTCACTCATAGGCGTAACTTTTATAATTTTTTATTATTTAGATAGAGCAGCTTTTTATTATTTAGTTAGAGCATCTAAGTCTGAAGAGTTTCGAGGGCTATTATATTTATGTGTTTAACGAATATTATATTTAACGAATGTCACGCATGACGGTTTGATTATACAGATTGAAACGAATGTCACTCATGACGGTTTGAAAATATAGATTGAAAGAATGAAACGAATGTCACGCATGACGGTTCGATTATACAGATTGAAACGAATGTCACGCATGACAGTTTGATTATACAGATTGAAAGATTGAAACGAATGTCTCTCATGACGGTTTGATTGTATAGATTGAAACCGGAAGAGCTGTGCACGCTGGTGGTGGACCTTTTGGTTGACTCGCGACGCAGGGCGGCCATTCTGTCTTCTGGTGGCGCGAGGGCCTCAGCTGCTGTGAGGAACACGGCGCCTGCTGGAGAAAGTCTCGCTCGCTCCGCTGGTAAGACTCTACACTCTGAAAAATGTATGGGATGTATTAGACGAATAGTTGTCAACTTTATCTCACTCGCTCATGCAGTGATAACACCGCTGGTAAGACTCGACACTCTGAAAAATGTATGGGATGTATTAGACGAATAGTTACCAACTTTATCTCACTCGCTCATGCAGTGCTAACACCGCTGGTAAGACTCGACACTCTGAAAAATGTATGGGATGTATTAGACGAATAGTTGTCAACTTTATCTCACTCGCTCCTGCAGTGCTAATTTATACACCCATGGAAATAAATCTTCTTTCGGTGAGGTTTGCGTGAATGAAATGGCATAGTAAACTAACTACATTGATCACTTTTCTTCACGGATCTAACACCGCTGGTAAGACTCCACACTCCGAAAAATGTATGGGTTATAATATCACTCGTTTGCTTGAATCGCAAATTCACTAAAAACTTGAGAGCAAAGAAAACTCCACAAAAATTCATACTAGTATCTTTAAAGAAAAAAATTCATACTAGTATCTTTAAAGAAAAAAATTCATACTAGTATCTTTAAAGAAAAAAAAATTAATACTAGTATCTTTGAAGAAAAGAAAATTCATACTAGTATCTTTAAAGAAAAAAATTCATACTAGTATCTTTAAAGAAAACGTTTCGGAGTCCAGCTGACGATGGAGCTGGACTCCGATCCGAAACGTTTTCTTTAAAGATACTAGTATGAATTTTTGTAGAGTTTTCTTTGCTTTCAAGTTTTTAATGTATGGGTTGTATTGGCCGAATATTGACCCACTTTATCCTCGTAGCAATAATACGCCATTTTGCTGGGGATGGATCAGTTTGATCCACGCAAGGGCAAGAAGTGCATCGATATTTGCACAATGTCTCGTTCAATTCTCTGAGTGTAGCCGGTACAACACTTGGACGTATTGTGGCTTGATCTGCGAGGTCANTAACACCGCTGGTGAGACTCCACACTCTGAAAAATGTATGGGATGTATTAGACGAATAGTTATCAACTTTATCTCACTCGCTCCTGCAGTGATAACACCGCTGGTGAGACTCCACACTCTGAAAAATGTATGGGATGTATTAGACGAATAGTTACCAACTTTATCTCACTCGCTCATGCAGTGCTAATTTATACACCCATGGAAATAAATCTTCTTTCGGTGAGGTTTGCGTGAATGAAATGGCATAGTAAACTACATTGATCACTTTTCTTCACGGATCTAACACCGCTGGTAAGACTCCACACTCTGAAAAATGTATGGGTTGTAGTATCATTCGTTTGCTTGAATCGCAAATTCACTAAAAACTTGAAAGCAAAGAAAACTCCACAAAAATTCATACTAGTATCTTTAAAGAAAAAATTCATACTAGTATCTTTAAAGAAAAAAATTCATACTAGTATCTTTAAAGAAAAATAATTAATACTAGTATCTTTGAAGAAAAAAATTCATACTAGTATCTTTAAAGAAAACTTTTCGGAGTCCAGCTGACGATGGAGCTGGACTCCGATCCGAAACGTTTTCTTTAAAGATACTAGTATGAATTTTTGTGGAGTTTTCTTTGCTTTCAAGTTTTTAATGTATGGGACGTATTGGCCGAATATTGACCCACTTTATCCTCGTAGCAATAATACGTGATTTTGCTGGGGATGGATCAGTATGATCCACGCAAGGGCAATACGTGCATCGATATGTGCACAATGTCTCGTTCAATTCTCTGAGTGTAGCCGGTACAACACTTGGACGTAGTATTGTGGCTTGATCTGCGAGGTCATATTGTTGCAAGACATAAACATGACCTGAACATGTTGCAAGACATGAACATGAACATGTCATGCAAGACATGAACATGTTGCAAGACATGAACATGTTGCAAGACATGAACATGTTGCAAGACATGAACATAGTATTGTGGCTTGATCTGCGAGGTCATATTGTTGCAAGACATAAACATGACCTGAACATGTTGCAAGACATAAACATGAACATGTCATGCAAGACATGAACATGTTGCAAGACATGAACATGTTGCAAGACATGAACATGTTGCAAGACATGAACATGTTGCAAGACATGAACATGACATGAACATGTCATGCAAGACATGGACATGTTGCAAGACATGAACATGACATGAACATGTCATGCAAGACATGAACATGTTGCAAGACATGAACATATAGTTGCAAGACATGAACATGACATGAACATGTCATGCAAGACATGAACATATATGTATATCTGCGAGGTCATATTGTTGCAAGACATGAACATGACTGTCAAAATAGGCAATTTTGAAGTCTCCTTCTGACAGCAATTTTACTTGTAACTTTTTGCGCCACATATTTTGATATGTGCTTCATGATTGTCCTGATCATTAATAACTTCTTTCTCTTCTGTGCCTTCTGAAGTGGGTGGTTATATGTGAGGACGTGAAGTTTTATTTCGTTTGTTTCACTTGTTGCATCGTTTTACTAATTCGCTTTCGAAATGAACTTTATATCTGCTTTTGATAGTTATGTGTGTGTGATTCGTTGTTTGGTATTGTAGCAATCTTGATTAATTTCCCCCTCATAGTAGTTGTTATCACTTAGTTTGCTTACCGCAGTGAAATGGATCACGATCATAGTTAATCCAGTTAATACTATCAAATGTTTCACTAACGAATTTTTGTAATTTTTGTACATGATGACTTATAGCATCTCGTTTGAGTAGCTATGGGCATTTTGAGTTTGTTTCGTATTCAGTTCAACTAACTTTAAAATTGCTGTACTTCAAATATTTAGTAATTTTTTCCATCTCCACGCCGGTCCGCGGTCGTGTTTTCACGCTTGCAACCGTTGTTCGTTGATTGAACTTCTAGCGAATTGAACCGTCTTGAAGTTTATTGACTAAAAATTAGTATCTACCTATTTGCTAAATCACAAGATATGGAAATATTTTTTTATAGATATTTTAGATATTTATATAGATATTTTTTCCGATATGGAAAAAATTGTATGAATGCTGCTCTTTCTTTTGGGAATCACATCACTATTGTAGTCACATCGCGTCTTATTAAGACGTTTGATGTTAATCTTTGTCTTTATTTTGGTTCAAGTCTTAATATTATGAGTCATGTGACGTCAGCCTTAACTTCGTTCTCTTGTTCAAGTCTTAATGTTATGCGTCTTGTGACGTCAACCTTAATCTTCTTCAAGTCTTAATGTTTTGCGTCATGTGACGTAAACCTTAGCCTTGTTCTCTCGTTCAAGTCTTAATGTTAGGCGTCATGTGACGTCAACTTAGCCTTGTTCTCTCGTTCAAGTCTTAATGTTATGCTTCATGTGCCATCAACTTAGCTTTGTTCCCTCGTTAAAGTCTTAATGTTATGCGTCATGTGACGTCAACCTTAGCCTTGTTCTCTCGTTAAAGTCTTAATGTTATGCGTCATGTGACGTCAACTTAGCTTTGTTCTCTCGTTAAAGTCTTAATGTTATGCGTCATGTGACGTCAACCTTAACTTCGTTCTCTCGTTCAAGTCTTGATGGTATGCGTCATGTGACGTCAACCTTAACTACGTTCTCTTGTTCACGTGTTTAGATTCTTAGTAACTTTGGAAGCGTCAGTAGTGCCACCATGTAGCGCCACCTTCCTTGCACGTGTATTCTCTCACTGATGGTTTATTTTGTTGTAGATTTAGTACCGTTGTGATGACTTACTTTTCAAAGGGGATTGTTTCGGCTTCGGTGTCCTCAATCTTTTGTTCGAGAGCTCGCGCTTGTTAGCTAGGACTCGCCTATAGATCTCTGCCTGCACCCTTTTGAAAGTGTATACAATATTTTGTCCAGTTCATTTCATCCTTTGAGGTTATAGCTTGGTTTGTATTTTTCACATTATCAAAACCTGCGAATAATATCTAGAAAATTACATTTTTTGTGCTGCTGGCTCCTTCGAAACATTCTTTATAAACCCTTATTACTTTTTATTGACAACTGTTCTGGATTCTTGTACTTCAACATAGCAACCTTGAGTCATTAATTTTTTTATGCTCTCTATTTTCAAGTGTCAACTGCGGTCGCATTTTCATCCAGTATTTCTCATTGACGTCTGAGGCGCTTGTTTACGAATAGTTCTTGACTATCCTTATTCTCGATTGATTTCTGTTTTCTGTCCTTTGCACACAGCCTGATTGAGGGTCGAATTTTATCTCCTTGTCGTTTTAACTTTCAATTCAGCTATTTTAGCTTTTGCATTCTGCCTTTTTAGCTTTTCAATTAAGTTATTTTAGCTTTTCAATTCAGCCTTTTAGCTTTTCAAATCAGCTTTTTCATTTCTACAATTCAGCCATGCATTTTAGCTTTTCAATTCAACTATTTTAGCTTTTTTATTTAGTCTTTTTAGCTTTTCAAATCAGCTTTTTCATTTCTATAATTCAGCCATTTTAGCTTTTCAATTCAGCCTTTTCAACGTTACAGTTCAGTTTCCGATACAAATGCCGTCTGACGTTTCTTCCGGGCCTCTCTCTTGCGATGACCACTTCATATTGTTACTCGATGCGCTTTTGTGTGACGGCAAATTTCAAGCCGAAACTTAAATTAGCTGGACGTTTTCTGAAGAAGATATTGGGAGTGAATGTGACGTTTATACATGTGACATCCACTGTAGCTTGAACGATGGAAAATGTGATATTTGAAAATATGGACACTAATATTCGTGTTGGCGTATAAAATTCTTGTGTTACGGGTAAATCCCGTAACACAAGTAAAAATGAATTTTTACTGGTTTAGTTGTCCAGTCATGGCCATCAGATTTTTTTTCTTTTATGACTATTTTGCATTTCTCCATACTTTTTATTGACAAATGTTCAGGATTATATTACTTCAACATAGCAACCTTGGGTCATTAATTTTTTTATGGTCTCTATAGTGTCAACTGCGGTCGCATTTTCATCGAATATTTCTCATTGACGTCTGAGGCGCTTGTTTACGAATAGTTCTTGACTATCCTTATTCCTTATTCTCGATCGAATTTCTGTGTTCTGTCCTTTGCACACAGCCTGCCTGAGGATCGAATTTTATCTCCTTGTAGTTTTAACTTTCAATTCAGTTATTTTAGATTTTGCATTCAGCCTTTTTAGCTTTTCAATTAAGCTATTTTAGCTTTTCAATTCAGCCTTTTCAACTTTACTATTCAGTCTCTGATACTAATGCCGACTGACGTTTTTTCCGGTCCTCTCTCTTGCGATGACGACTTCATATTGTTACTCGATGCGCATTTGTGTGACGGCAAATTTAAAGCCGAAACTTAGATTAGATGGACGTTTTCTGAAGAAGATATTTGATATTGGGAGTGAATGTGACGTTTATGTGACATCCACTGTAACTTGAACAGTGGAAAATGTGATATTTGAAAATATGGCCACTACGGTAATGTTCGTGTTGGCTTGTAAAATTCAGGCGGTAGGTATAAAACTTTCTGCCTTTTTAGCTTTTCAATTAAGTTATTTTAGCTTTTCAATTCGGCCTTTTTAGCTTTTCAATTAAGTTATTTTAGCTTTTCAATTCGGCCTTTTTAGCTTTTCAAATCAGCTTTTTCATTTCTACAATTCAGCCATTTTAGCTTTTCAATTAAACTATTTTAGCTTTTTTATTTAGTCTTTTTAGCCGGGTAATTCCCGTAACACAAGTAAAAATGAATTTTTACTTGTTTAGTTGTCCAGTCATGGCCATCAGATTTTTTTTCTTTTATGACTATTTTGCATTTCTCCTGTGCATGTTTCATTGCGTTCGTGAAGCACTTTTGCAGTAGCTCTACACTGAGAATTTTAACAGTTACCTATTTTTATTCGTGGGCAATTACCCTTTCTGATGTGTTGTTGTGCCCATAGTTTAGCTAACTACTAGTAATAGATTTTGTCTGTAATGTCAAATTTCTTGTTGTTTGATGAATGCTTTTACAAACTTTATGGCCCGAGATTCCATTGCGCTGATCAACATCCATTTTGCTGTAATTAACATATCATGTCTTGTAATGTTCTCTCCACGGCATGCAAGAACGTAGACCAGGGGCCATACTTTCAAAACTCGCTAAGTGAACGTAAGTACTTACGCTCTTTTTTCTTGTCTATGATTAGTGGATTTGGTTTGAAATGCCGTCAATGATTGGCTGATGAACTTACGATCTCCTAGATTTTTTTGAAAGTATAGGCCCATGTCAATATTTCAGTCGGCTTTGTGTGTACCGTATTTCGAAAATCTGTTTTCATCTGCTTTGAAAGAAAACGAATGAAAACACGTTAAAAAATTCTTTTATTTTAATTTTTAATAATATGGTGTCAGAAATTTACTGCCCATGTATCCACAGCAACATGAAATTGATCGCCAATGGCTGCTCAAGTCTGTGCTTTATGTGCTAATTAATTTGCATTGCCATACGAGATTTTAGCGAATTATCTTTATTCATCTGACCGAGTAGTTGACAGCAAACTTGGCTTATTTATTGATTATTTTACTTTAATTACCAGACTCAGACCAGCAACTGGCAACAAAGCACACCGGACAAAACTCTCCGACCAGCAATGCCGAGCCTCGTACTTCTAATCTTGCCTTCTCTTCCTCCTATTCATCTGTCCCTTCTGCAATGTCTGATGTGCATTGTCAAGCCTCTGAACTGCCTTCTTCATCATCTTCAGGGCACTGTTTACCTTCCTCATCTCCTGACCAGGCTACTTCTTTTGTCTCTTCTCATCCTGCTCTCTCTACTTCTCTTAAAGATTTCCCTTCTCATACTGCACAATCATTTTATGCTCAAAACGAGGCTTCCTCTCCTACTCGGTGTAGGGATTTCCCATCCCCTTCATCTCTACCGACTTTCTTCCTTCGGAGTGGACGTCAGCAATCAACAATCTCTGCGGATGAGACTGACAGCAATCGTACGTCAGCTGATCGCTCTTCCCTCATCACTGCCCATCAGCCCCCATTGTTCCCATCACCCGCTGGCAGCTCCCCTGCATCCATCATCCCCTTCTTCAGCCTCAACCCTAACCTCAAATCTGAAAATACTAACATAACCCAAAACGCCCGCTCTGAAACTCCCAATATTGACTCTAAACTCTACCCTAACTCCCGCGTCAATGTCGCTAATGTTTATTCTATGTTTGGTCAGGATTCAACTGAGATGAACCCAAGTACTCAATTATATGTTGGCAAAAATGATCCAAAACTTCTACTCGATAGCACGTGCAGTAACGCTGGGTCGACCAACGTAAAGCAGGATTTCACTAACAACTTATCCCGTTTTATTTCCATGGATGAAAATCTCGAAGAAACAAAGAAAACGCAGAATGATGTCCTTACCTGCGATCAGCTTATTAGTGAAGCTTCTTCATTTGTGAACATGATGGCTCAAAACGACGCATTAAAAGCTTCCCAGAAATGCTCTTATGGTGAAAAGAAGGCGCAGCGCAGCATATCATTTCAGAGTTCCCACGACTCCCACGGGACGGCAGACAGCAGTGGCAGCGTACGGGACTCTATGTTCTCTGAAGATTCCTTGAAACTCGACAGTAACGACAAGAGTAAACTTTTTCTGCCCCTCAGGTCTCTAACAGGCACAAGTCTTGCTCATCAAGTGTCTGTTTCCCCTGGTATGGAGTCTAGTAGAAATGCAGCATCATCTAGCTTCTTCTTGCGTCAGACAAGCGAAGTTGAGGGTATATACCCTCCTCTCAGTCCTGAATCAATGATGGATTCAGCCTCGGGATCATACACTGCTCTCGGGAGCATGGGTAGCGGAATAAACCCTCCTCTAAGCCCTCTTTATCCAGCTTATCCATACCAACCTCATGGCCGGCGGGTGCCCAGTGGCATTAATCCGCCTCTCAGCCCTCAAGCGTCTAACATTGACACGGCATCTGAGACGTACGTGCAGTTAGGGAGCGTAAGAAGCGGGATAAATCCTCCTCTAAGTCCGCAAACATCAAACTTCGACGCAACCTCAGAGACTTACGTGCAGCTAGGGAGCCTATATAGCGGAATTAATCCTCCTCTCAGCCCCGAAGCATCGACGCGCGATTCGGCTTCAGAAAGCTACGCTTTGCTCGGCAGCATGAATAGTATTCTGCCCAGCGCCCGCGGGGACTCGGAAGTGTACGCTAATATAGGTAGCGTCGCCAGTGGCATACATCCAGCCCTCACCCCCGCAGGGTCTTCAGTAGGTTCAAGGGCCACTTTTGATCATCATTCAAGTGTCCTCATGGCATTTGGTCGGAACAATCAGAGCAATCCGCTCTACCAATCTTATGATACAGTACACGTGTCTTCGAATGAAGCTAGTGATGCTGAAGCAGCCGAAACAAAATCTCTTGATGAAGGTCGTGTTGCTGACACCGAGGATAACTCTGATATGAACATGACAGAGGATGAAAAACTCAAAAGAAAACTCGTCTCGGAAGAGAAAACTACCATAAAGCATGACGGTAAAAAGTCAAATGACGGTAGTAAAAGCGTTCGTCTACGCATCAGAGAAAGTTTCCAGCGAGTCAAGAACAGCAATCGGTCCGATGACGTCAAGAGCTCGAACCGTGCAGACAAATACTCGAGTGGATTCAGCAGTGAGAGCGAACTCTCCAGCGGAGGAGACAGCCACTGCACGGCATCTTCCAGGTCTGAAGTCATGAAGACGCCAGTATCAGCCAGGAGCTCGACCGGGCAGTTTGCTGCTCAGTTGTCACGTTCTATCCGCCTAAAATTCATGGGTAAAAGTAAGGAGAACAAGAGGGACGTAGCTTCTTTTACCTTAGATCACTCTGAGGCTATAGAGAAGAGTCGGAGTCTACCGCTTAACAAGACGAATTCTGTAGTTGAAGCTTTGGGTAAACGGGCTAGCGCCGCACCGGACGATAAGGTAAAAGCGTCTGAGAGCAAATACAGGTTTGTGCGTACTCTCACCATGCCTCTGAAGCTCGCGTCCCAACGTCGCCCTAGCCTGCCACGGGGCATTTCTAGGTCCCAACCCACGACACCAGACATGGCCCGTAAACATCGCGTTGTTCAAAGTTACACTCGCCAACGCACAAGCACCAACATCTTCATGACTCCTCACATGCGGATCAGAGATCCCCTTAACATCAGTTCTCCTCAATCATCGAGTTCGATGCGTTCTCTGTTCAGCGGCAAAGAGAAGAACACAATCAAGCACATCAGTAAGCCCATCATGGTGACTGATCCTTCAAACTTCCAGCGTCTCACGTCGTCCACTAAGTCGCTCATGACCCACAGGGACAAGAACTTCGTACGGCCGCTCGTCAAGTCGTGTGGTTCTGACGGCAAACCACCGCGCGCTTGCCGACCTGCTCCACATCACTCCAGCGAAAACCTGCACCGCGTCAGAATGTCAAACTCTGGGGACCTCAGCTGCTCTTCTTACGAACCTCCGCCTTTGTCTTCACCTCGGAACAGTGATGTGTATGCCTCGGACTGGGATGAACTGTTCTTGGAGGTGTGCGACAAGTGCCGACAGAACGTCATCGATGGCATCCAGCACCCGTCCATATGGGGCTTCAATGAGTACCTTCCTGCGGGGTACGTGCGATCTCCTGAGGAAATCAAGAGCCTTGTGGCCGTTGCAGCTAAGAGGAAGAACCTCAAAGAAGATTGCAAGCTGCAGTAGCGACTGGTCGAAAGATTCTTACGTATCTCAATAGACACAAAGGCGAAATATTCATATCTGCTCACTCTTTTCCTCACGCCTTGGTGGTTCTACATTTCTGTTTCGACCCCATTTGTTCAAATTTTGCTATGGTCCTTCATGAATCATGATAACCTTTATTTTTTCTCCTCTGTCCTAGTAAAATCTATTAAGGTAATTGTCCTCTAATTTCCTGCTGCCTGAAACGTGCCATCTTGTACAGACTTCTCTGCTTTTTCCTTTAATCAATCCTATGTAATTAAAATGTATTCTTGCGGACACGCGACGAAATGCTTTTGACTGCTAATTCCTTGTTTTTTATGTTGACTAATTTTAATTTCCTCCCATCACCTGCATGCTAACGTATTTCTCGTCTTGATTCAAGCGCTTGCATTATGTACGGCAAGTGGGAATTAGTTTCGGTTAAAATTTTCACTCCAGCATAAATAACTCGAACCTTTTATCCAGACACATTAACAATCTTCAGTGCTATTCGTACCTAAAGTCATCAACGCCAGTACCTATAGCTACCTATCAACAGTTGAACCGAGCCAACGTTACTATCATGGCTGTGCTCGCAAGATTGTGATCATGCAAGAATTCAAAAGCAAAGAAAACAGCAAGCAAGTTCGTCATACCTTCAATTAAATCTTTTTCGTTGAATATATAGTGAACTTGATTGAAGTTTTCTTTGCCTTTAAGTTTTTAGTGATCTCGCGATTTGAGCAGACTTATGATTGTTACATGTACGTATGTCATGCAGTGTTGGACTATAACATTAGTCGCATTTCTCCATTGATTATTTATGCCGTTGCTTCCGCTTCGCTTAGACTTCACCATTTTTTCTATGAGAATCTCGAATGAATTTGTAATTAATCTCACTCCAATGCTGCCGCTTAGTGTTCTCATAAACCCAAGGGATTTCATGGTAATGACTTCGCTGTGTTATCTTTTTTGTGTGTAATTTAAGTTATAGTTTTAGTTGTGTATCGTTCAGTGTTTGCTTACATTATCTATTGCATATAAGTCTTCATCCTCTTGTCCACGTATTAACTCGGAGTGATTGCAGTTGGTTAATATGCAATCGGCAGCTAATGCAAATATAATTGTGTTCCATATTAGTGTTAATATTCAATATTGAGATAAAACTAATCAACCCCCAATGGTTCTTCAAGTTATTAGTCGTTTCATTGAATATTTACATAAAGCCTAAAAAACTCTCAGAAAAAAAATAGAAAAAAAACAACCTTTTGAAAAAAAAATATTGCATGCTGTCTTCCTTGTCACTGATGGAGCTTATAGAAGCCGGGACTTATTATTTTCTTCTTTTCCCTTTAAAAATTTGACGTTGCGTTGCCGTATATTGCGGAAGATATTTATTTATAAGCAGAAATATTCTAAATGAGCGAACTAAGCTCGCTGTACAAAACTAAATTAAGGTCTTCAGGAGAACGATCTGTTACTGTCTATTTGGTTCATGCTTGTTTATGTTGACTGGTATCCAGTATATCAGCTCGCGGTGAAGGTAACTTATACTATTATTATGTGAATGGTTTACAATTCATTTTTTTGCATTTGGTGATGTTTGCCTATTGTTAACTACTTTAAGTTCATAAATGCTTAAGCATTTTTTTGGTACTTGGTTTATCCCTTTTCCTTTGTTTCGCTTTTTTTATTACTCTTTTCATTTCTTGTTCTCTGTTCCAATACGTCCTTGAAATTTCTGCTGTCATAATATTTCATCTAATTCATCACTATTTTTAGAAAGAAATTAATGTATTTCTGCATCATCGCACAGACTGTCATTTGAATTCTTATACAATACTGGAATCTATCACAAAATCTACTTTGATTCAGTTTAATTTTTTTACACTTCCTCCTCGGATTTACACTTCCTCCTCGGACTTTTCCCACGGTTTTATTTTATCCATTTCTACCATTAATCATTCTATAGTTTTATTCTGCAAATTGTTAAGTCGATTCTCCACTTGTTGGTGAATTTTTCTGCTAGGTCTCCATCAAGCCAGTGCCTTGTCCGGCCTTCATGTCTTCTAGCTTCTTCTCATATTCCACATACCCGCTTTTACTACAGTCTAAAGTTGGTTCCCTATCCCTTAATATATCGCATCGTGGCTTTCCTCGTCGGCTTTTACTGATCATTTCTTCATCACATATACCATTCATATCGCCTCTCCCCATTTTCTTGAACCCTACCTTGATCCCTCTATATAATTCCCTCAATATCTCTCTTCAGTCGGTTGTTTCTGTTATTTGGCTCCTTGCACTTGAAGACCTACCCTCCATCTACTCCCTTGATGTGAGAACCTCGTTGTTTTCCCTACCCTCCATCTCCTCCCTTGATGCGAGGACCTCGTTGTTTTCCCTACCCTCTCTCTCCTCCCTTGATGTGAGGACCTCTTTGTTTCCTCTCCCCTCCACTTGATTTGAGGACCTCGTTGTTTTCCCTACCCTCCAACTCCTCACTTGATGTGAGGACCTCGTTGTTTTCCCTACCCTCTCTCTCCTCCCTTGATGTGAGGACCTCGATGTTTTCTCCTACCCTCCACTTGATGTGAGGACCTGTTGTTTTTCCTATCCTCGATACGGCGGGCTGACGACACGGGTTGCTCTTCCATTAGCTGCCGACGTGGCGGTGGAAGAACCTCTCTACGACTCAGTGTGTGAAGACGACGACTACTGCCTGGTCGAACAGCTCCAGGCGTCGCGCCCTTCGTCTGTACCAGCTGCATCTGCTGTTGTACCAGCTGCATCTGCTGCTGTACCAGTTGTATCTGCTGCTGTACCAACAGCATCTGCTGCTGTTGTTCCTCCCTCAAGTGCTGCTTATACTGCTGCCTCTGTCCCGAACGTTGCGCCGCTGCAAGATAACCACAAGGATACCGTAAGTGAACTGAAGATACTTTACTGAGAGAATAAGGAAATTTAATTGAATTAATTAATGTAGACAATTATTCGGGACTGATTGTAGGTAATTTTTTGCCCTGAGAATGGGGAAATTTAATTAAAATGAATTAATGTAGACAATTATTTGGGACTTTTTAGGTATTTTTTGCTCTAAGAACGAGGAAATTTAATATAAATTTAATGTTATTTGTCAATATAAATGTAGACAATTATTTGACAATTATAAATCCACTCTCGTATATTTGGCACAAGTGTCTACACATTTTTTCTTGAGTACATTGGCAATCTGGCAAAATCACTGACTTTTAATATAATAAACTTTAAAATTTTGTTTAATCAAATTCCTGATACATCATATGATTTCCGATTATTGGTATATGGGAATGGATCAATTCTAATGTTAATGATGCTGACAGCTAATCGTTTGGAAATTTCTGCACAGTTTGTGTGCATCTTAAGTTACGAGGCTGATTTGTATAGATCGCCTATTAAATTATGAAGTATAATCACTGCTTGAGGGTTAAAATATCTCTGGATTTCTCGCCGCATGTAGACACCGAAAAATATTATTATAAACTTAAACAGGATTTCTCTTTCATTGGCTGTACCAGTTCACTTTTTGTGACTCACTTGTAAATTAAAAATGCGTTTTAAAAAATTAGATCTTGACCACTTGATTGTTGAAGTGAACTCAGCGAAATTACAAATTTTCTGGATGTTGACGGGTTTAATGAGGGTAATGTCCATGTACTATACTTCTCAAACGAGACTTCTTTTTCAGAATATTAATTGCAGTGTTCAACCAATGTGATAATCTTTTAAATTTTGGATGACTTTAACTTTTAGTTGAATTAATTTCAGCTGTCTTCAGGAAAGATAAAAGTTTAAAATAGTATATTCAATAAGATTTCTAAGTTGGTTATAATTCATCTCCAATTTAACTAATTTCTTCACAGAAAATTGTTCTCGCACCAGATTGGGATGCCATATTTGAGGTATATCTTCGTCTTGGACATTAAATTTTGTTCCTTGTTGATTAAATGCTTCGCCAAGTCACACTAAAGCGTGCATATCTAATCTGGTTCCTCGTTACTTAAATGCTTCGCCAAGTCACACTAAAGCGTGCATATCTAATCTGGTTCCTCGTTGCTTAAATGCTTCGCCAAGTCACACTAAAGCGTGCATATCTAATCTGGTTCCTCGTTGCTTAAATGCTTCGCCAGTCATACTAAAGCCATGCATGTAAATTGTGCCAGTTAGCATCAGATAATGAGTTGCTGCTCATGGCCAACTTAACGTCGGTATCTAAGGAAAATTTCATATTGCTTATTGCACTACCGTACTAACTGAAAATTTGCTTTGAATTGTCCCTCGCCTGCTTTATTTAAACAACTTACTGCGCCCATAGTTTATTATCTGAAGCTCTGGAGTTCCATTCAGGATAGAAACAACGTTTTCCAAGGTAAAAGTTTAGTAGCTTTTAATGGCCAAATTTTGGATTTTTTTTCAGAGCGGAAGCACGGATCTAAAGTTATTGTCGTTTAAACTGGCCGAAAAGTAATTCACTTGGTATAATTGGTCTCTCGAGACAGCTAACGATTAGTTCACATAACGTTTCCATATGCTGCACGCTTTTGTTAATTTTTTTCTTTTTATTACCGCAAAATGCAGACTCCGTTGCTTCAGTTGGCGCATGAATAATTTTAATTCTGCAAACCGTCGAATTTATTATCAAAAAAATTTTTTGGTGCGAAGTTGCAAAGCTTTGCATGACCTTCGCCTTTCATGTAGCTTCATATTTTTTTACTAGCTATTAACCAAAGGAGTGTGCACCTGTTACCGCTAAGTGATGTGTCATGAGTTAGAATTAAAGCCGAACCTTTTTGTCCCGACTGCTTGGAGTTCAAGTTATAATGTGAATCGAGGTCTGTAGCATCGAACAAATACTCTGTATACATTTGTGAGGCTCCTGCGGTGGGTCAAATTTATCTAGATAAGTTTGAATCATACAAATTGAATTGTGATCCATTTTTTATTGTCGCTCAATTCTTTTGCATTCTTATTCTTAGAGTAAATTCGCAGAAATTTGTTTATTGCGGTAGGAACTTTCCGCCGCTTTGTGTTTCCCTCAAATGAGTGATATTCTGCTAGACCAGTGGTTCCCAAAGTGGGCGATATCGCCCCCCTGGGGGCGGTGGAAAGATTTTGGGGGGCGGTACGGAAGAAGAGGGCGTTTGGGGGGCGATAAGGGGGGCGGCAGTCCGAAGTCAAAGTCAGAAGTTCCAACGTTTGTTTGACAATTTGTACGCAACACGTGCAGCACATCATGACTCCCAGCGATGTTTTTTTCACCCAGATCTGTTTTTTTAACCTCTCCTGGGTTTACGTCTCGACAAATTAACGGTCGGACTCGCGGCCGGTCTCACGGTCAATTTCCAAATTCGATGATCAAGGAATATCTCTCAAACTAATGAACTTAACTCGTTGAAACTTGGTACACATATTCATTAGGGCCTAACGGTAATGTTTAGTTCATGAAATTTTTTGAATTTTGCCTTCATTGGTTTTTGCCATAGTTATATAACATAACATAGTGATCTCGGCGCTGAAGTGTAGGCCTGATGTGGCCTGTCGCCGATTCTTTTCCTTTTTTATGGCAATACGGGCCGAAATTCACAGTGAACAAGGAATTTCTTCCAACTATTGAACAGATTCGAATGAAATTTTGAATTTTCAGTCCTAACTACCGAACGGCAATGTTTAGCTCGTGAACATTTATTCGATTGTGCCTTTGTTCGCGAGTTTTTTTTTTTTCACCTCATTCGTGATTTAAACAGCAATACGTGCTTAAATTCGCAGTAATCAAGAAATGTCCTCCAAAACTACTGAATAGATTTGAACGAAACTTAGTATTTAAATACCTTACCTCAGCAACGGTGGTGCTGTTTAGCTCGCTGCAAATTTTTCGTTTTGCCTTCGTTTGCGAGTTATACGGCTACAAGTATACGGATATTCATAAACGGCTCTTAGTTAAACCGGCCGGTAGAAAAGCCGGTCGTTCCTCCTATATCTGTATAATTCCCAAACGAAAGCAAAATAGAAAAATTGTCACGAGCTAAACATCACCGTTGGGAGGTTAGGTATTTATATTCAAAGTTTCGTTAAAATCTATTGAGTAGTTTAGAAGAAATTTCTTGATCGCCGCGAATTTAAGCGACAAATTATCCGGCGATACCGGCCTAATATAAGGAATTGTGAAATCAAGAATGACGGTAATATGAAAAAAAACTCGCAAACGAAGGTAAAATCGAAAATTTTTTGAAGCTAAAAAATCACCGTTTGGTAGTTAGGAATGTATATTCAAAATTTCGTTCAATTTCAAATTTTCGTTCAAATTATTTGATCACTGCGAATTTCGGCCTCTATCGCAATATAACTCACGGTCACGAATGAAAGTGAAATTTAAAATTTTTTACGAGCTAAAAATCACCGTTAGGTTCTGATGTAAACATGTTCCAAGTTTCATTGAGCTGCATTCATTACCGGTAGTTTGGGCGATATTACTTGATAATTGAATTTGGAGATTGGTCGTGCGACTGGCCACGAGTCCGGCGTAAATTTGCCCGAGATGTCCTAGGGTTCTAGTGCTCAATCAGTTAAAACAGCTTAAAAACATATTGTTTCACTAAATGGGGTTCTATTTGTAAAAGACACATTTGTGTTTAACATTGATCTTCTAAAATTGCAGCGTGCTAAATTTCAAGAAAGAGGCGTATGTTTTTATACGTGTCTGTGGGGGGCGATAGAAATTCACTAGGGAGCCAAAGGGGGCGCCAGCCTGAAAAAGTTTGGGAACCACTGTGCTAGACGATCACCCATTCACGCAAAACCACTTCACATACATAACCATTGGCTTTGTGTCCAATGATCATGTATGTCATAGCCTTGAGATGTAGAAGAGAGTTGAAAAACAACTTGGGATATAGTCAACGTTTTGTACCTCAAATATTTCAGCAATATGCTAACATCGGAAGTCGGGTTTTGCGAGTAACTTCAACATCCGTTTTCCTTCATCTCGATCGGAAACTTGTTTAATTCTTGCCCGGACTCTGGAGTCCGAATTTCAAGGCTTCAATGAAGGAAGCTCGTGATAGGATCAATTCTGGTAATGATATTTTCATGTAAAGATTATTTGCGAGACTAATCTTATTTCAAAACTTAGTGCCGAAGCGTTTTCCGGCAGTCAAAATATGAACGTTATCCAATGCTCTGTGGAGAATCTCTCCTTTACCGTCACTCGGTGCTAAAAAAGCAGAATTAAATAGATTGAGGTTAGATAGCTATTATTATGCAATGACCTTACCATTGCACCTCCCGCAAAATGAATCATAACCTCCGAAGTTACATTTATTGCATGATGACTCCTGTGCAGATCGAATCCAATCCTGACGATACCATGGAGCTTCTGAAGTCGGCCGACGTCTCCCCAATGGCATCATCAATCGAAGATCCTGTACCGGCCGAGGCGTCGCTCATGGAGGCCGCGTCGCTCCGACGACAGGTGGTCAGATCACCGCCTGTGTTCCTGAAGAGCTTCACCAGCACGATGACGGACGTCTCGTCTGAGACGTACCAAGATCTGCGTGCCAAGCAGATAACGGACGTCTCGTCTGAGACGTACCAGGAACTGCGTGCCAAGCTAGAACTTAGCGAGCGCACCATCCTGGACCTCCAGTCGCAAAACCTGCTCATGCAGAGGCAGCTGCAGGAGTTCGCCTCTACCGTGAGTTGGTTTCGCACTTTTTCGTCCTGCCTTTTCGTGCTTATGAATGGTGTCAAGTGTTGCAATGATGTCGATATTTGTCTAGCTTCACAACGTGTCATACTTATTGATGCTGCGAATCTATAAAATGGGTTTAATCTTTAACTAGTCTGTTCATACATTTGCTCTATATTATCTTCGCTTATCGTGTTCACGACTTGAATCGTTAAAATAACTCCCAGAGTTATTCTGAATCGCGCACTGAAAAATAATTTGATGTTAACCAGTTCTCAAGCCTTGTTTATTGAGCTTTTTTGTCTCGTTTTGTTAGTAGTCTGATGCCGTTACAGTTCTCAATGCTTACTGGTGGTCACGTCTGGTTTGGTTGCGTTGTGTGCCGTTACAGTTCTATCGGCTTCTTACTTAAGGGTACTGAGAAAGCCTCTTGGCCACTGCCATCTCAAACACATTGATCACCTGTTGGGTCCAAGTCGCTGCTCTGTAATTTTGGGTTTGCCTCTCGGACCGCCTTTGTGAATTGGCTTTATCAGTCGCACTTAGAGGCCATCAGGAATAGTTCCCTTCCTCAATGAGGCTTTCCAGAGCTTTTGTAAGGTGACAATGTTAATACCATTCGTCCCTGGATATTTGCTTATTGACGTCTTTCTTGTTGAAAGATAATCTCCTTCACTGCGATGCATTCGTAAACATATCCTTATTAACCTACCCTGTTTATCAAGTCACGCCTTTGGTGACTTCAAATAGCGAAGCTATATGAACTCTGCCCATACCCGAAAACCTCAGTCTTGGGCGAGGACCGCTGTCGGTATACCATACCGACTGTCCATATCAAACAGGACAGTAACGCTAGCTCAACGTCAGTGTACAGAACACTCGGATATACTCTAGTCTTATCCTTGCTACAACTGGCTGCCGAAGACATCAGTGATAATCTGATAAAGCTCCAACCTATAACCCTATATCATCCTAAACTGTAAGTCGAACTTTTATCCTAAATAATACTATACCTATAGTCGTTTACGTTGTTCCTCCATATCCTCGGATCACGCTACAACCGGACCAACCCTCAGGTCATATTCGATTACCATATATATACCGTTAATAGGTGCACAGAAAAGCAACCTCTCGCACTTTGTGAGAGAAGACTTCAGTGCTCCGACACACTTGTTTAGCAGCACTGCCGGAGCTCCATCCTGGTGCTTACAATGTCATCAGTTCTTTGATACTCCTAGCCATGTCTTCTGGTCCCAGCTCAATATTAATTATAATAATAGCTCAATAATAATAGCCATGTCTTCTGGCCTGCTATATATAGATTTTCATTTAACCGCTTTCGTTTTCACGAGATAATTTGCTGGCCTCTCGGAATTCTGCGGCCTTTAGGGCTGGCGTCTCACGTACACACACCGGCACAACTTTCTCGCATAGTTTAATGTACATTTCATCAGTATTAGAACTGAAGTATGTTATCTTGCAACTTCACGCATACTCATTCATCATGTGTAAAATATAAGAAAGAATAGGCCTATCCAGGCCTATTCTTTAATGCCGACGATACTATACTATATTATGTATAATTGCAGGTGCAGCAGTTGCGTGACGAGAACAAAAGTCTACGGGCGCTGTCCTCCTCGCCTCGCAGCGCTTCCAGTCCGCACGCCTATATGAGTCTCCAGGAGCCCAACTGCGACCCTGCCTTCTCTGTGAGATGTCAACGCTGCATAGCTTAACATATCAGAGATTTATCTTAATTTATCATGAAGTAGCATATCCTTTGGCTACTTCACCCCATATCAACGTATTTTAGATGAGGCAGTATAGGTGTGTTGTGATTTGTTGTCTTTGGGTCAACAATTTCATGTTTAATATGTCACTGAGAAATGTTTTCAAGCCCTTCAGCTTTGTGTTGACTGCTTTAGGATTAAATAAATTCGTTTTTATTGAGAAATATTATATTATGAACTGTTCTGCGTCGGCAACTTTTTCCTATGAAGACAAATTAACCTTCTCATCAGAAACGTTCATGAGCCATAAGTAGCAGAGGTGCGTTTATGAGATAAATTTTTTCCTCCTTGGTCAGACTTGACACGGTAGGTTAATTTAACTCATCCTATTCGCCTTGTATTAACGAACCATTGGCCAGTTTTAATAGATATTAATTAAAGCCAAAGCTGATTAGATGGAAACGTATTTTCGTGTTATTATCTGATTGGTAGTTTGGGTCTGTAACTTACAGTTCGTGAACTCACCTACTGCTAATTCGGTGATTCTCTCCTAACAATTGTGTTAATGGCTTAACGATCTTTATAACTATTTCTCAAACATCTAAGTATATTCATGGGTTAATAGACCCCTTCTATATTCTAACAATCCTCCTGTTGAATCTTGCTTCCAAACTGTATAGTTTTCGTAGCTAATCTCGTATACTAATGTGTGATTTGTCCCACAGCTTAACAATCCTGAGAGCCACAACAGTTGCGGCTACTCCTCTTCATCCCTTCTTTATCCTCAACAATTCAATTACGACACAAACCATCAGCACCAATACGCCGCAGCTTCTCGCCTGTCNAACGGAGAGCAGAGTCGGTTTGTTGTCGATTGGCTATCGTGTCCCATTTCGCAATGGATTTTATTTTGCAGCGCTCGTGTTCAAATGTGCACAATTGTTCCTTGTACCTGTTAATGCAGCTCTATTAAATGTAAATTGTTAACATTGAAATGTGGATATCCTCTGTTTTATACAGATGCTTCTCGTATTACTTACTTTTGATAGATACTAGCTTGCGATTCTTAATATCCGAATTAATCGATCGGCTATTTGATTATTCACTAACACTTTTGTCCTCAGCACAGCAATCATACGTGGTCGGTCCTAGAACTGTCACCGATGAATTGTGATGGACTAAATTTTCACAACAATCTAGGCCCATAGGTCGTGTATGTAACAAGTATCCGTGCGCCATTGAGACCCGTCTATCATGAAATCAGTAAATGAATAAGGGAGTAGCTTGCCTATAAATCGCTAAAAATGCATAAGGGTTTGATAAATTTGTGTAATTTTAACTACGTGTGAGAGTGCGTGGATAAGTCCAAAACAGGGGAACTTTGTGTGGGGTTTGCTAGAGTACAAGTGAGATATTTGTTTTAATTAATTTACGTGACGCTGTCTTCCAGTTCGTAGAGCCAATTCCACGATGGCCTTGTTGGTCATTTGCCTCTACCTCAGGTGTGCTTCATTCGTGCCTTATAACATTAAAATAATCATACTGCTAAGCCAACTGTAGCTTCTTAGATTTTATGATAGACTCGAGGATTATATATTTTAATCGTAATTCTAATTGGCTTTTAATTTTTATGCATTCGTGGTATTTTTGTGCGTTGCATGTCTCTCAAACGCGAAAAATTAAATTTGAAATATTTTTTATTTGCTGATAACAAGAATGTTCGACAATACCTCGGCAGCTTTGTGGGACAGGACACAGTAAACTCATTGTATTAGAGCCTGGCACTGAAATCTTTTTTTTTAATATTTTTTTTAAAGAACCCCTATTTAAAGAAATTTTGAAGTAATTTCGAATGCAGGCGATGTTTTCACTTAAGCTTACGTACTTTCTCCACATTGTGACTAATAACTTCGGCTTCTAAAAGGGTTCCGTTTGGGTTGGAAAGTTTATTAGGACTTGAAATGAAGCAAGTAAGGATTTATTTATTTACCTTGTGATGCGAAAATATCGAGCTATGTTTTAATTTGTTTGTCTACGTTCCATTAAGTGTTAATGCGTTCACTCTTCAAAAACACCACTCACTGCGAGAGTTTTGAGTGGACTTTTGAAAACTATTGCGTCATGATACTTGCGTTTACCTAAAATAGCGCCTGTTGCGTTTGCACAAAATAGCGCCTGTAGCGAACGGAGCGTACGAAGTGAGCTTACTAAGCTCGTCGACCGGAGGCCTTCAACCAGTGCTAATGTGCTCTGGTCGCTCTAGATACAATTATTGTGCCGAGGTAGCTACGTCGCTCAGTGTTGAATATTTCTGCTTGTAAATATTTATCCTGATTACCTTATTGTTGTCTAATGTATTTTCATGATAATAAACAATGATCCGTGTTCTTTTTTTCAATCATTTTCTGCCTTAGAAATTCAATTTTTTTATATTTTGCATTAGGAAGATCATTGAGGTTTAAATGTTGACAAAAAATCGGTTTTAGCTGAGGATCGCAAAATCTTACACTCCCATGGAAAGCAAGGATTTTATTTGTTGTGGGCTTATCGTGGTGAGTTCTAGTTTTGTTAGTAGGATGATTATGTATCCTAGCAAAAGAAGCTTGCTCATGTGGATCAAAGCCTTTCAGAATTCTTGAAAGTTCAGAAGCGAAGTAAGTCTTCAATATTCTCATGTGGCACTAGATAGTATATTACCTAATAGTGTATTCACGAACGTGCCGTCAATTCATGATCGTCAGGTGTATTAACGAACGTACAGTGTATTCACGAACGTCCCGGTATAAGTGTGACGAAACACCGTCTCACAAAACTTGTGAGGAAACATGTCCGTTGTATAAATTTCCATGTTCGTTTAAGAATGCAGTTAAATAGGAGTGAAACTCGTGGAAATTTATCTATAAAGTAAGTACACGTGTGTTCACTGCCGTGCGGGGGCCTGCCTTTGTAGGCCTAAGGAAATTAGGCAAACCTTCGGCCCCGTTGCCTTCTTCCTATGGAGGAGGTCGTCGGGCGACTGCCCTAGCTTGTCAGGATACCTACAGGCTTCTTTGTTATCAAGTGTTTTGCAGAGCGCCACCCCCGCATTGTTTCTTTTTCTCATTTATGGAAAAAAGGCGCTATTGTGCTCGTCATGTCCGTCCGTCCGTCACGGACGGACGGACGTGAGAAAATGCGCTCTCTGTCTCTCACTGCAGTGAGTACTGATCTAATTTTTAATTTATTTTGAAGGCTTCGATTATGCAGGTAACACGACTTTCAGCCTGAGCACCATTGGGATTTTGGACTCTTCACTTCACATTTAAACCACACTGCTCTTTTTTCTTTTTTTTTTTTTTTTGTTTCTAATTGCGACGCTTCTACTCGCGGTGTACGACTGAGGTCTCAGTTGCGGTTGTGTGTTGTAATGAATTTCGCATCGCCTTCTCATGCGCGTGGCCAGCGACTTTGGTCAGCGACCTCTTGTACGAGTTGCATTTCTTTTCACACGTTTCTTCCTCGTTATGGATGCCAATGCTGCTGATTTCTCGCGCTCGTTTGTTTTGATTTTCCCGCTTCTCATAGGTGATAATGTTTTTCATTTAAAAAATGCATAACCAACTAAACTCATCTTGATAAACAGGACTATTTTTTAATCAGGGTGGGAAGGTTTCAAAAAAGTTTATTCGCTGGGAATGCCTACTTTATTTTGCTTTTTTGTTGCCTCATCCTTAGTTTATCGCGAAACGTAGATCAAGACTCACGTCTTGCTTTTTTTTACATTTTTTACGTAGAAATTAAGTATCTCGTCTTCGATGCTCTTGAAATTCGTACTTTCTCCTCTGGGCTTCAACGGCAATGACTTTAGGTGCTCGAGAGCATCTGCCATGAAACCTGGTTTGCAAGGAAATCGTAGGCAAAAGGCCTTCGCTATTCAAGCGCCGTAGATTTCAATGGTCCTCAAAATTTCGGTAGAAATTTAGGGTTACGGAAAATTCGGAAATTATTGCCGTCGTCTATTGCCTAGCGTCTGGTGAAAAATCGACAGTTTTGGCTTCTCTGGTTTTTAGTCTCATCTTCAAGCTGATATTTTAACCTATCCAATGGTACCAAAACCATCTCTGTACGTTGATTTATACGTTAACAACAGATCGCGAAAGGGTAAGGAGTGGTGGAGTTCCTTAACATTTAACATAGGGAATAATTGCCCGCAGTACACTTCAATAGCTAGTCTGAACACAGCTACGCTTCAGTAACCCGGCTGCAGTCATGCGGGATGGTACTCGTGCAGTCGTTCGCACCATCCTTGACAGGAATTAAGCTCCAGTATCGTCTAGTCATGCAACCTTGCACCCTTGAATGTCTATTTCGAGGCTCCCGGGACTTAGTCGCGCTCTACTGAACATTCACACTTATTGTCCCTGTAAACCTAGCTCCTCCTAGAGTGTTTAATTAAGCTACACGGGCGTTAGAGTTCTACGGGCGTTATTTTCACTCATACATCGTGCATAATTGCAGGTGCAGCAGTTGCGTGACGAGAACAAAAGTCTACGGGCGTTATATTCACTCATACATAGTGCATAATTACAGGTGCAGAAGTTGCGTGACGAGAACAAAAGTCTACGGGCACTGTCCTCCTCGCCTCGCAGCGCGTCCAGCCCGCACGCCTATATGAGCCTCCAGGAGCCCAACTGCGACCCTGCCTTCTCTGTGAGATGCCAACGCTGCATAGCTTAAAATATCGTTTTTGATATTATCCTTAGTATCCTTAGTGTCCTTAGTATCCTTAGTGTCCTTAGTGTCTTTATGTCCTTAGTGTCCTTAGTATCCTTAGTGTCCTTAGTATCCTTAGTGTCCTTAGTATCCTAAGTGTCCTTAGTATCCTAAGTGTCCTTAGTATCCTAAGTGTCCTTAGTATCCTAAGTGTCCTTAGTGTCCTTAGTATCCTTAGTATCCTTAGTATCCTTAGTGTCCTTAGTGTCCTTAGTATCCTTAGTGTCCTTAGTGTCCTTAGTATCCTTAGTGTCTTTAGTGTCTTTAGTGTCCTTAGTGTCCTTAGTATCCTTAGTTATCAATATCAATAAAAATATCAGCTTAACATATCAGATATTTATCTTAATTTTTCATGAAGTAGCATATACTTTGGCTACTTCACGCCATATCAAGGTATTTTAGATGAGGCAGTATAGGTGTGTTGTGATTTGTTGTCTTCTTTGGGTCAACAATTTCATGTTAAATGGTATTTGCCACTCAGAAATGTTTTCAAGCCCTTCAGCTTTGTGTTGACTGCTTTAGGATTAAATAAGTTCGGTTTTTGTTGAGAAATATTATATTCATTATGAACTGTTCTGCGTCGGTAACTTTTTCCTATGAAGACAAATTAACCTTATCAGAAACGTTCATGAGCCATAAGAAGCAGAGGTGCGTTTATGAGATAAATTTTTCCCTCCTTGGTCAGACTTGACACGGTAGATTAATTTAACTCATCCTATTCGCCTTGTATTAACGAACTATTGGCCAGTTTTAATAGATATTAATCAAAGCCAAAGCTGATTGATGGAAACGTATTTTCGTGTTATTATCTGATTGGTAGTTTGGGTCTGTAACTTACAGTTCGTGAACTCACCTACTGCTAATTCGGTGATTCTCTCCTAACAATGGTGTTCATGGCTTTACGATCTTTATAACTATTTCTCGAACATCCAAGTATACTCCTGGGTTAATAGACCCCTTCTATATTCTAACAATCCTCCGGTTGGATCTTGCTTCCAAACTGTATAGTTTTCGTAGCTAATCTCGTATACTAATGTGTGATTTGTCCCACAGCTTAACAATCCTGAGAGCCACAACAGTTGCGGCTACTCCTCTTCATCCCTTCTTTATCCTCAACAATTCAATTACGACACAAACCATCAGCACCAATACGCCGCAGCTTCTCGTCTGTCCAGAGGCGTACCAAACATTTGTTGGCCACCTGCACCACCGCCTAATTTTGCCACTCCTCCCTCTTCTATACCGTATGGTTCCACCTCACCCTACGGAGCCAGCGACTCGCCAAACTCTCCATTTGGACACAGTAGTATGCTTCCTGGTCCCTCGATTAACTCTTTCCGGCGTTTCAGTAACGCGCCGCAGCCTACCTCCGTTAACTCTAGCGCCTTTAACACCCACAAAGACTGGAGTAGAAGTCGGCCCTACAGCATGCTTGATGCGCGCGAGCAAAATGGAAACTCCGCTCTCGGTCCAGCTAGTGTGAGTTCTTACTTCTGAGAAAAATCAATAAAGTAGTCGGTTTTTGTATAATGAAAGTGGTTAGTGTTCATTGATCTTGATTGAATTAAGTTAGGAAATAGCCGTCAATTCTCGAAATTCCATTGCATTGGTTTAAGGCTAAAAGACCGCAATGAGTTCAATTAAAAATTCATTATAGTGATTTAAAGCCAGCGTATTTCATGCTCTGATTGCTAGGCGCTGCTAAAAAAGAATTGGAGACATGACTGAGGTTATGGGACCATTTTGAATCATTATAATTCTGCATGAAAGTAGCAAGTCTTACATGAAGGAAGGCAACAGAGATGGAGCATCTTTTGATTCGACAATAGGCATATATTGACTTAGCAATAGGATGACGTAGGTAGCAAACTATGCATACAACGTTGGTAGCAAACGGCTGTGCAACCAGCAAGTCATGTATTAGATTCATTGCTTTACTATAGACTAATCCAGTCCTGAGCTGCAAATCTATTTTGCTCTCCTCTGATTCCATCTTCTTCATAAGTCAACCCTGTGTTTTATTCATAACTGTAATGAGTTTTCCGTTATGCTTGTCTACGAAGCATCCTCAGTGTAAATTTTGTATAATATTATAACTTAAATTATACTAAATGCCTTCTCTGAATCATTTCAAAAATTCGCTTGTAATTTTTCTTTTAGCTGTAAACCAGTTATCAGTTCTAGAATTTCGGTAACTCTCTGTCCGTTTCGCATTTTAAATGCTTTCCTCATTTTAAATGGGTACGTTGTAAGAGCTGTCTCCATCGTTTGAAATGTCAGCTCAAATCAAACTAGAACGATAGTTTGTGAGCTCTGCATCTCAGTATTACTTTCCTACTCTCATGTACATCCACTGGATCAGTGGCACCTATTGTCAACAGTAAGAGTTCAGTGTTAAAGTGATAAAATGTTTGAGCAGTTCGAGGGTGTTGACAACAACAACGATGGTGACGTGAAGATACGTAAGAAACACAGCGGCCTCCAGCCCCGTCTCAACGAATCTCTCCCTATCCCTGAGCCGCGCAAGAGCGCCAGTCTCATGCCTTCCCGGGATGAGGTAGTGTATATTTTCCTTTCTTTTTTTCATACTTAACAAACTAAGAATTTAGAAATTTCACAACTTTTGCTAAGGTTCTAATTGGCTCTTATATTACCTGCTGTAATAATCCTCAACATTTTTCGTTTACCTCCTGGTGGAAATTCGTTACAATGGCCACGATAACGAGAGTAATTTTTCTATGTTTGTTATGCATGAACTACGGAAATCGCTCATACATCATATTTCAACACCTAACTGAAAATTGTTTTTGGAAAACTACAACTCCTGCCCCTCCCTTCACGTCTATCGTGAACTAAGTTTGAGAGTGACACGTCGCTATTAAACTATCGTCACGATAGTGACACGTTAATTCCTATATTATTGCATACGTGAAAGTCATTCGTCGGAATGATCCTGACTTCAGTTATCTCTTTTCCGTCTTGCTTATTATTTTTGCCAATTGAGCTCGGATAAAACAATACTGAACAAATTCTCATATTTTGTATTTTCAGGACAGTTGTAGGAAAGGGTTGAAATATATCTTTCCTGTTAAGAACACTTGCCATTTTACCGGAGAGACATACAATTTTTTGTCTCGATTATGTACATTGTGACATTGATTATTAATGATATACATCCTTCTTTCCTGAGATTTACCAATATTAATTAAACTGTTTGCCCCCCTTACAACTATGAAAACTAATTTTAGGCTTTTTTAGACGCAAATAATAAATTCAGCTGGAAAAGATGTAAATTATTGCTTGATCATCAAACCCCAGAAGAAGAACTAAGAATTGTTTTTTATCTTATTCGTAAATGTACATAGAATATATATTTCGGAATCGATTCTTAGTAGTTACTTTTCTAAATTGTGGCCTTAAATAAAGTTTGACGGGGAAATGGACAATATTAATTACAGGTTTAGATAAATAATTTAAATTACCCCCCGGTTAACAGGTCGTGGCGCTAACAAGCAACATCACCAGCGGCATTCACGATCTTTTCGCCGTAGTCCAGAACAAAGAACGCAGCCCCAACTTGGACCAGCTCATGCAGTCCTATGAGAAAGTCGGTAGTGGCGTGCAGGAGGCCATCTCCATCTTTCTACAGGTCAGCCTCATGTGTAATTATCTCTATATATTAATAACATTTATGCAAATTATACATGTTAATAGCTGCTAAAGACCGAGGTAAGTGTTTTTTTATCGCTCGTTCAGCTTGTTGTGCGCAATGAGTTTTGCAGGAGTTGGCTTCAATTGCAGCAGAAAAACTTAATTGTCGTGTTTTAATGTTTCGCTAATTTCCTTTTCTCGTCCTCTTGTACGTGAGCTTGAGAAAAATATAATGTTCTGTAAATGGCTTCTGTTTGATTAATCGTTAGGCATTTTGTTAGTATCGGCTATCAGTTTGGTTGAGGTTTTTTATTAATATTTGTATTTGTAATTGATTTCTTTTCCTTTTTGGCTGAAAATTCATAATATAAGAAAAATTATGTGTAAGTTTATGGGTTGAAACCATTTGTTGAGAAATCTTATATTTGCATACAATTCAAATGTAAAAATATGAGTGACTCGTTGATTTTGTACGTGGTTAAACATCTTGTGAGTTCGTGTGCCTTCCTATTTATATGAGCTTTCTTGAAAACTTAAAAATATTTACAATGTATCAACAAATTCGTCAGATTAAGCTACGAAAATCTAGTCATTGTGATTTAATTTAGGAAATATTCAAGTTTATTTGTTGTAAAGCAAACTTAGATTATTTTTATTAGGTATAGATTACGTATAACGTTACAGTATCTAATTCCTAGTTGGTGATGTTCTGAACAGCCCAATTAGTTTATTGTGTCCTAATTTTTAATTTTACATAACCTGCATGACGCCATATAATTTAGTAAATATTTAAGTTTATTTGTTGTAAAGCAAACTTAGATTATTTTTCTTACGTACCTATAGATTACGTATATGTTTTTATAAATAATTATTCGTTACAGTATCTAATTCCTAGTTGGTGATGTTCTGAACAGCCCAATTAGTTTATTGTGTCCTAATTTTTAATTTTACATAACCTGCATGACGCCTTATCAATTGGTTCAGTGATACCATAGAAACAGGATTGTTTTTACATACCCATCCTTTTTACCGTCTCTAATGTTTATTTTTGGATATGATTCATCATTGCGTTCCTTCGATTGGAGTCAGTATCACATATGCATTGTTCCCTTTTGATATGTTCCACAATGACATATTTCAGGGCCGCACCTTGGAAGAGTTTTCACCCGCCGTCCGAGATTCGATTTTGTCGCTCACCAAGAACACAGTGGCGCTACGCGACAAGTGTCAGCTCAGAGCTCCTGTCGAAGACATCGTCAATGCCATATTTAATGTGGCGCACGCCACAAAGGCTCTAGTCAGCCTCGTCGATGGCTGCTGACTGACTAACGACTCGTGTCGTTTCTTCTGACTTGTGTGGTGTTGGTGTGCCTTCAGTCATGGGCCTCTGATTGTTACAAGATACTTTAACTGACGTCGCTCTGCAAGTAATGTGGTGTCTTTATGCACGTGGTGCCTTCACCCACGCTGTCCTGACCGTGACATTGTGCCTTCACTCACGCTGCCCTGACATGGTGCCTTCACTCACGCTGCCCTGACATGGTGCCTTCACTCACGCTGCCCTGACAGTAACATTTTGCCTTCACTCACGTCACTCTACAAGTTCTGTGGTGCCTTCAGCCTCAGCGACTGCCGTGTTGTGTTTAATATCAATTCTAAACGGTAGCAGAATCCTCGTTACTTCGTACGATGTGACTGTAATGTGCAGCGATGATGTTTTGAAAGGACAGACGCGCGTCAACCAGCAAGCAAATCATTATATGCTTTAAATTTATCTGATTTACTCGCTGCGTGATACCATCTATGATTCTAGTTTTTCGTTTTATCATGATTTTGCCTCCAGCATCGGTGAATGTCAATGCCTGATTTTTTCATTCAACGGTGTTGACAGCATATGCGTTAGTAGTGTTCGATATTTGTGTAGGAAGCTCTTGTCTCTTCAGATGAAAGATTCAGATTTTTCGCATTTGAATAGTTTATGCTGTTAATTTTAAAATAAAATAATCTCTTCAATTTTTAATTTTGTTTAGTTTGAAATGAAAAATACGTATATCCATGCCGCACTTCCTGTTGATCAAGATATCATCATCTTATAAGTGACTAGTTTTTTGGCTTCATTTTTAAGGAACTGTTTGAGCGTTGGTAGACAGTGAGTTTGGCAGCTCGCTTATGCGAAACGCTAATGACAGCAAGATAGGAAGACTTCTTTACCTATTTATTCTTTTAAAAAAGTGCCAATTTGACTTCGCAACATCCAAGATGAGTTAAACTCAACGAGCTATTATTGGCTTGAACCTTTTACCTGCACTCCTCCCGAATGCAGCATCACTTGGTATTTAAATAAAATGCAGGTACTATGTCGATTAATCTTGAACCTTTTTCGCAGATTTTTCCCTGTTGGTAGTTTAAAAATAATGTCCCCTGCGATGATGCATAGAAACACAAGATTATTGGAGTATGCCTGTTAAAAAATCTCAACGATACTTGCTTCAGAAATATCATAATACGTTGTTGTTGTTTCATTGCTAGCAAACCATGTCGTGAAATAATCTGTAAGGTTATTGTGATTACAATGTTGATTTCAATACTATTAAGCCACGCTCGCTTATTCCTCTCTCGCTCAGGTGATTTTTCTTTTACTAAGATAACTTATTAATAAGTAACATCCTATAGACGTCATTTATTTCTCCGTCGCCGCGCTTGATGTCTCCAGTAACGTCTGAAAAGCAACTCAAACCATTTAGCTTTAAGACCAGCCTTCGATATGTTACTTGTGGTGTTAAGTGGGAGCTGTTATGTTGTGTGCACGCTAAGAAAACGGGGAGGAAGTTACATTTGTTCCAAGTTACTCGTCACTCTCTTCCTCTGTCGCAAGTCGTTGATCCATGTCGCATGACTATCAGAATTAGGGAGCGTTTACTCGATCGCTTAGTCATTGTTAGTAAATATTTAATTATTTAGTAAATATAATTCATGATTTGTAGAGGATCGACCAGCAATGGGCAGAAATGTGATATCGTAGCTGCTTGCGAGTTTCTTCGTAATGTTCGCCATGCAAACATTTTTAACAATTCCCACCTGTTTAACCTCACTTTTGGCATATTTTATGCGAATTTCTTCATAACGTGCTCATACAATTGTTGAAAAATTGACCCACCGCGGTTAAACAATGTAATGTAATTGACTTTTGACTTATAGCTAATTAATTAATTGGAAACGTGTGGTTTTAACGTCCTGTCACTCTCGTAGACAAATTATAATTAACTGTGTTGTGCGATGGCTCTAATATTATTTGGAACAAGTGATATCTGCCATCCTGCTAATTATTTAATTTGAACAGTGTTATGCCACAAATTTCTTCGTGCGGTTTCAGTTGTTTCATCTCTCACTGTTATTGTGTCCTCAAAAAGATTTGATATAGTCTGTTTCAAGTCTTGTCTACTAGACCAGTCCTGAATGTGTGCAATCGTCAGTGTGAAAAACGTTGAATAATTCTAACAATTGACGTTGCGTAGCTATTATTTTTGAAGAAATTTACGATATTTTTATGGGAGCTACACCGCTTACTCCAACGGAGAGCAGAGTCGGTTGGTTGTCGATTGGCTATCGTGTCCCATTTCGCAATGGATTTTATTTTGCAGCGCTCGTGTTCAAATGTGCACAATTGTTCCTTGTACCTGTTAATGCAGCTCTATTAAATGTAAATTGTTAACATTGAAATGTGGATATCCTCTGTTTTATACAGATGCTTCTCGTATTACTTACTTTTGATAGATACTAGCTTGCGATTCTTAATATCCGAATTAATCGATCGGCTATTTGATTATTCACTAACACTTTTGTCCTCAGCACAGCAATCATACGTGGTCGGTCCTAGAACTGTCACCGATGAATTGTGATGGACTAAATTTTCACAACAATCTAGGCCCATAGGTCGTGTATGTAACAAGTATCCGTGCGCCATTGAAACTCGTCTATCATGAAATCAGTAAATGAATAAGGGAGTAGCTTGCCTATAAATCGCTAAAAATGCATAAGGGTTTGATAAATTTGTGTAATTTTAACTACGTGTGAGAGTGCGTGGGTAAGTCCAAAACAGGGGAACTTTGTGTGGGGTTTGCTAGAGTACAAGTGAGATATTCGTTTTAATTAAGTTACGTGACGCTGTCTTCCAGTTCGTAGAGCCAATTCCACGATGGCCTTGTTGGTCTCTTGCCTCTACCTCAGGTGTGCTTCATTCGTGCCTTATAACATTAAAATAATCATACTGCTAAGCCAGCTGTATCTTCTTAGATTTTATGATAGACTGGAGGATTATATATTTTAATCGTAATTCTAATTGGCTTTTAATTTTTTATGCATTCGTGTTATTTTTGTGCTCAAAAATAACACGAAAAATAACACGAAACACGCTCTCTCAAACGCGAAAAATTAAATTTGAAGTATTTTTTATTTGCTGATACCAAGGTTGTTCGACAATATCTCGGCAGCTTTGTGGGACAGGACACAGTAAACTCATTGTATTAGAGCCTGGCACTGAAATCTTTTTTGTTATTATTTTTTGTTTAAAAGAACCCCTATTTAAAGAAATTGTACAAGCATTTCGAATGCAGGCGATGTTTTCACTTGAGCTTACGTACTTTCTCCACATTGTGACTAATAACTTCGGCTTCTAAAAGGGTTCCGTTTGGGTTGGAAAGTTTAGTAGAACTTGAAATGAACCAAGTAAGGATTTATTTATTTACCTTGTGATGCGAAAATATCGAGCTATGTTTTAATTTGTTTATCTACGTTCCATTAAGTGTTAATGCTTTCACTCTTCAAAAACACCACTCACTGCGAGAGTGTTGAGTGGGCTTCTGAAAACTATATAGTCCTGAGACTTGCGTTTACCTAAAATAGCGCCTGTTGCGTTTGCACAAAATAGCGCCTGTAGCGAACGGAGCGTACGAAGTGAACTTACTAAGCTCGTCGACCGGACGCCTTCAACGAGTGCTAATGTGCTCTGGTCGCTCTAGATGCAATTATTGTGCCGAGGTAGCTACGTCGCTCAGTGTTGAATATTTCTGCTTGTAAATATTTATCCTGATTACCTTATTGTTGTCTAATGTATTTTCATGATAATAAACAATGATCCGTGTTCTTTTTCAATCATTTTCTGCCTTAGAAATTCAATTTTTTTATATTTTGCATTAGGAAGATCATTGAGGTTTAAATGTTGACAAAAAATCGGTTTTAGCTGAGGATCGCAAAATCTTACACTCCCATGGAAAGCAAGGATTTTATTTGTTGTGGGCTTATCGTGGTGAGTTCTAGTTTTGTTAGTAGGATGATTATGTATCCTAGCAAAAGAAGCTTGCTCATGTGGATCAAAGCCTTTCAGAATTCTTGAAAGTTCAGAAGCGAAGTAAGTCTTCAATATTCTCATGTGGCACTAGATAGTATATTACCTAATAGTGTATTCACGAACGTGCCGTCAATTCATGATCGTCAGGTGTATTAACGAACGTACAGTGTATTCACGAACGTCCCGGTATAAGTGTGACGAAACACCGTCTCACAAAACTTGTGAGGAAACATGTCCGTTGTATAAATTTCCATGTTCGTTTAAGAATGCAGTTAAATAGGAGTGAAACTCGTGGAAATTTATCTATAAAGTAAGTATCCATGTGTTCACTGCCGTGCGGGGGCCTGCCTTTGTAGGCCTAAGGAAATAGCGCCCGGGTTCGAGTCCCACTGAGGACAAGTTCTGGTCACCGCAGTAAAACAACCTTCTGGGGTAAATTTTCAAGTCCTGAAATAGGCAGACGTCGCGCACAGTTAAGCCTGCCCTCGAAGTGACGCCGAATTCCTGAACTGACGGAATTTTCATCGCAATTAGACTCGCCAACTTTCAATGTAAACAACACCCGGTCCTACGGGCACGAAACAACCGCGTCTTACACACTCTATAAATATTGCTTCAACCCACGTTCCTATTCTTCTCAACACCTGCACACAAGTAGTTCAATATTCACACAAGTAGTTCAATATAAGTTCAATATTATAGTACAACATAAAGTCAGAATTACCTACGCTTTATTCAAGAGAAGATTTCATTTGAAGTTTTTGGCTCGCTCATTTAGATTAACCTTTTATGATTAATCTTTTTATGTACTGTATTACATTATGATGTCATACTGCTTGACACAAAGGTACTTTGAACTCGAAAATATTTAATTTAGACATCGTAAGTGAAAAATGAATGACTCTTTCTTAAGCTTTACCTTTGTGTGTTCCTCCTGGAGCAAATGACTTATTTTAAGTTGGGCTGATCTGATACCAAGACGTTATATAGGCATCGTAAGGAGGGAAGTGCATACAAGTACGCCTGTAGATAGCGATGCTCCCAAGGCTAGCCAGTAGACAGCTAATCTGAAGTAAATAAAAAAATCTAACTCAGTACTCACTACAGTGAGTGACACAATGCGCATTTTCTCGTCGACGAAAACGTGAAATCACGGACGGACGGACGGACGGACAGACAGTAGGACGGACATGACGAGCAGAATAGCGCCTTTTTCCATAAATGAGAAAATGCGCTAAAAAGAAGTCCGTTCATCACATCGTTTTTTATATAAAGTATGAGATTCGAATAAAGTTGGAATATATTACAATATATTTCTGAGAACTCCTGACTTATATTTTACCAACGAACTCCATAATGCCTATATTTTTAAATTTTTGTTTTTAGTGCATTTTCTCATTTATGGAAAAAATGCACTATTGTGCTCGCCATGTCCGTCCGTCCGTCTGTACGTCCGTCCGTGACTTCACGTTTCCGTCCACGAGAAAATGCGCTCACTGCCACTAACTGCAGTGAGTACCAAGATATATTTTTTAGTTTTGTTCACACTGTATAACATGCGGGCTTGACTACGACATCCACCACTTATTTACGTATGCGGCGTAATCAGCCTTTTCAGTTAAATCTCGGACTTTTTCAATTGCGCTTGATTTCCTTGTGGATTTTTTCAGTTTTTGGTTGAAAGCATGCATGAATTTTGGCATGTTTGCATTGCATGCATGGGCTTGACTAAAATCACCGCCATATTTTCGTGCGGCGTATAATAAACTTTTTTAGTTAATTCTTAGATTTTTTCTATTGCGCCTCAATTAATTCTTCTATCAGCAGCTCCATTATAGTCTCTCGTTTTCGAAATGCTGGGCAGGATTTTATGACATGAAAAGATGAAATCGAACTTTGGGCTGGTTATTTAACGACTTTAATCTTTTTGTTAAGAATTTGTCTGCTGGAGCGGTGAGGGCATGTTTTTTCGACATCAAGTGCTCACTTTAGAAAAATATTTCAGCCCGTCGTGTTGCCTCATAAAGCGGTTGGTTACAATTTAAATACCTAGAATTTGTTTCCTTTTTACGCACCATTTCGCAAATGGCAATGATTCAGATACAATTGTAAATTGAAAATCGATCTTTTCGAGGTTGTGGTATTTTATACGTACATAGATTTTATAAAAAATCAATAAATCAATTTCGCTCTTTTTAGAAATAATCTACGATAAATCAAAAAATTACTATATGGACTTCTCCATTTAATTAAATTTGCCTCATTAAAATCACAATTTAACTTTTTATCTTTTTACTTTTTTATATAATACATTTTATTATATATAAATTTTATATTTTTTATAAACTAACAACAAAAAACATCATTAATTTTTTAATTAATTATGTTTTTAAGGAGTCCCTTAGATCGAGCTAATCAAGGAATAAAGCAATAGACATGAATCATCATGTTGGGTTTCTTCAGCAAATTCGTAGGCCCGGTACTTGAAGAACTGAGTGGAAAATCCTAGATCCAGTCGTAATAAATTGATGATTCTTTAGTTGGCATTTTGAAACCATTTTTTGATTGAGGAATATCTTGATTTGGTTAACTCGACACGCTCTATTGAATAAACATCACTGAGAGCAATAAACATGTTCGACTGTATATGATCTGATCAACGCTGAATACATGTGATGCAATATGTTCTTAGCCCATAATGCCCAACGTGACATTCGGCGCGAGATAGCTTAGCAGCTGAAGCGCTAGTAATCATAGGGCCACTAAACTAACTAACTAACTGAGACCTTCCACCTCTATGTTTGATGTTCATCTTGACTTTCGGTGCGAGATAGCTAAATAGCTGAAGCGCTAGTAAACATTTGGCCACTAAACTAACTAACTAACTTGTATGAGTGGGTTTCTTTTCACATGTTTCTTCCTCGTTGTTAAATAATAGAATAGAAGTGTCGGCATTGAAGAAATAGGCCCATGAAATATTGCCGATTCTTGAACTTTTCGTGACTTGATTCACAAGGGATCCGGCCTTTGGAACCCGATCTTTCCATAGCTGACGATTGATTGACTTCTGGACTTGTTGCCTGCTGGTCCGTAATTTGCGAGGCATTTTAAGACTGAACATATGCTCCTGCATAGCTTCATCTAGTCTGTTTTTGAAGATGTTCATGCTCGGAGCGTCAACGATGCTATCAGGGAGTATGTATGCCAATGCTGCTTATTTCCCGAGCTCGCTTTTTTCGATTTTCTTACTTCCTGTGGGTGATAATGTTTTTCATTTAAGTAATGCATAATCAACTAAACTCATTTTGATAAACGGGATTATTTTTTTAATTAAGGTGCAAAAAGGCGATTCACTGGGAATGCCCACTTTATTTTGTTCTTTCGTTGCCTCTTGCTTAGTTTATTGCGAAACGTATCGATTTTTACTCCAATTTAAATTCTTAAACACATAAATTCAAGAGCAATGATTTGTTCCAACTCCCCGAGAGAAAAAGCTGTATTGCTTGTTGAGGAAGTGATATTGTCACTTTCTTTGCGCAGTATTTTTCCTAGAAATTAAGTGGCTCGCGATCGATGCTTTTGAATTTCGTACTTTCTCTGGGCTTCGACGGCAAAGACTTGAGGTGCTCAAGAGCATCTGCCATGAAACCTGGCTTGCAAGGAAATCGTTGGCGAAAGCGTATTCAAGCGTCGAAACTTTCTCCGGTCCTCAAAATATCTGTAGAAATTTAGGGTTACGAAAAATTCGGAAATTATTGCCGTCGTCTATTGCCTCAAGGCCTATCATTAGCATTGAAATTTTGAATTGGTATATCGAAGCGTATTTGAGCTATTAAATGTTATCCATTTAGTTTCTACGTCGAGCGAATCATTCCTAAATTCGTAGCTTGTTTATTGTTTACGATTTAGTTCATATAATCTAGTTAATTTAAGACGAATACGAAGATATGCACGAGAATAATTACAAAGTTACACAAAGTACCCAAGAATAGAAAGAATAGTTACAAAGAAAAATATAAAGCTTATTTTTCTCGTGGAGAAAGTACCCAAGTAGACTCGACAGCAACATGTCGTGGTCATGAAGCCTATCACATGCATTAAAGGGAGTGCAAAATACAAGTTAACCAAGATTCAGGTCTTTATGTAACGGTATTATTGCAAGCAGTCAAAGAAATAGCGAAGCTTAAACACAAAGGAAATTCTCGAAAAAATAACAAATTTAATATTGCTCGAACTGCAAAAATTTAACACACACTTCCAGCTGCCGCCGCGCGATGCTTGGTTCTGTCGTGCGGTCGGCTGCAGCGCTAGTGCAGGTTGGCTGCTTGGCACACTGCACGCTTGAGTTCTGCGCCGACTTTGTTGTGGTGAGGTTCTTGTGAATTTATGATAAAACTTTGCTTGATTCAGTTTTAAAATGCCCAGCTACATCTTGCATTTGATCCGCAGCGACACTAACGTGCATGAATATATTATCAAACTTTGCTTGATTCAGTTTTAAAATGCCCACTGGCCCAGTTACATCTTTCATTTGATCCGCACTGACACTAATGTGCATGAATATATTACCAAACTTTGCTTGATTCAGTTTTAAGATGCCCAGGTACATCTTTCATTTGATCCGCACTGACACTAATGTGCATGGATATATGATCAAACTTTGCTTGATTCATTTGTACGATGCCAAGTTACATCTCTCATTTGATCCGCAGCGAAACATTTTGATACTTGGCTGCTCACATGATTTAATTATCATCTGAAACTAAAATCAAACTATTAAAATATAGACAATAATATGATTTAATTTAGATAGTATGCCTACGATCTAATAGGCATGTACGAGTACATTATTCTTAGTTTTTTTAGGTATATACGGGAATTACCTGACGAAAGTGGAATCGATTGTTGATTTCGTGATTTGCTTCTACCTCGAAGGCTTCTTTAATTGTCATTCATTATTTGCTATTACCATTACTTTCATATTTTAATCAGTAGATCAGGTAGAAGTTAGAACGCTACTACACATTTATCATAACCATAATGGCTTTCACTGATGAGGAGTCTACCTTGCCTTGGTCTACTATAGAATAATTCCTTCGCTCGTCGAATTCCTATGGAGGCTTAAACCCTAAAATTTATACTAATGTTTACTAAGGGCATTTAAACTCGAGGTCTGTGACTGCAGCTCTCAGTTATTAAGTTAGACAAGGTTCGTTAGTTGTTAAGTGATTGGTTAAGTTGGTTTTTAATCAGGTCTCTCCCACCGGTATTTGCCATCCTCGTAAGCGGTCGGTCGACCTGTTCACACCCCTGTTGATATTTTTCCTTAATCAACGTCTCATCAGAACCGAATCGCTTCCAGTGTATCCTATCCATGTTAGCCGTTTCACGATTCTCCGTTGCTTTTGATGATAAAAATTTGTGATAATCAAAAACCTCCATCTTTATAGTAATAAGAATTTTGAGAATTTGAATAAGAGATAATTTTGTTGCTGAACAATTAACGCTACACCAAATTATCAAGTCAATTGTTAGTGAATTGTTAATTGTAATAAAGGTTACTGTTAACAATGAGTCAGTAAACTAGGGAAATTGTTATTTGATTACAAAAATGTACTATGGCATATTGTGCATAAAGGGAAGGAGCATATCATGGCTCAGTCATAAAATAAGTAGATTAAATATAGTCAATTAGATTTTATAGCGCAGTCATTCTGCACGTCATTCCACCCCAATTCTTGGAGGAGAAAGTCAAAGCTGTAATATTACTATCATGTTTCTTCGTCCTAATATAAATCAAAGACAAAAATAAATTAAAGAAATAACAAATAAATAAATTAAAGACAAATCACCAACAGCTAGAGAGATCTTTATTTTAAGAATTTAATAACTTTATGGATGGAATGATTCCATTTTGTTGACCTGATTACTCGACAGTGCGAGGGACCTTCAATGGAGCCGACGATCTGCGGATCCGACATACTTCTGGCAGAGCACATTTCTGTCAGGTCGAGGATCATCTCCAAAGGATCCGTGGTCATCGTAAGATCTCCTTCAGATCCCCACTCCTACATATGTAAGCGGGTCATCGCAGGGCCCGGAGACCGCGTCCCTATTGTTGGGTCCTCAAGTTTTGTCCCCAAGGGACACGTGTGGCTGGAAGGTGACAACAAACTCAATTCGACGGACTCGCGAGCCTTCGGTCCCGTGCCTTTTGGACTTGTCAGAGGACGCGCTGTCATGAAACTCTGGCCACCCTCTGACATCGGATTTGTTTGAGGTTTTATTAACCACTTTATTAGTTACTGTATTGTAATTTCTTGTACATAAAAACGAGGATCTGTAAAGGATCATTTTAAAATTATTTATAGCGAGACTTTGCAGTTTTATTTGCGGAATGAACGAAAACAAATATATAGCTATATCAGTCTGACTGTATTCTGAAAAACATTTTTAATTAGAGGATTGTAACTAGTTATTCCAATCCTCTCTAAAAATAACAATTCTCGTTGTTTCTTCCCGATGGCTTGATTTAAGCACGTTTTGGAGTGATTGTTTTCTGAGTCTGAATCTCGTAAAATGAAGGCATTGTAAATTTTACAGTGTTTACTCATTTTCGGGAATTCCATCTCTAATGACATCTCCAAAGGCTACATAAATCACGCATTTACGTGCAGGACATGAGGTATGAAAATTTGCGTGCTTGATTTTTGTTGCTGACAAAACAGCAGGTGACCTATCATAAATATGTGCAGACGTGTTACTCAGATGGTAAAGCCGGTTGTTCAGGCTGCCAATCAATAAAATGTACACAGATATGGATGTATTTATTGAGTTTTATACTACGTATGAAGAAATAATCTGAAACTAAATGAAACTATTTATGAAACTCACTTGTAACCTTTGTTAGAGGTTATAATTAAGTTTTACTTTTTCGCAGGATCAGGCAGAAATTTCTTCTTTCTCTGGCAACGAAATTTAAGATCTCTAACTACGGTTCTGACGTGTCTGAAAAATACAATGCCCGTTATGGAAAAGTTCATTAAAGAGCTCGCATCTCAAATTAATTAGTTTATTTTCAATGTTTTTCTAGATCGCTTGTGTCAATTTATATGAATCACGAGATATGTTTGCCTTATTTTATACGTACGTACCCATTATGTCCGTTGCATTCACGCTGCAGAAAATATTGAATAATATTGTTAATGGCGGCCAAAGATCAAAGTATTATAATACAGCTTCGCCGCGTAGAAGAAAACCTTAGCTCTTATATCGTTTAATTAAGTAAAGTCGCGCCCCTCTGGCCGCTTGATGACTGTTTTAGATTGAATTCGATTTGAAGTGGTTATAAATATGCCGACTTTCTGTACGCACATTATAAGGATTTAAATTTCAATTTACCATTTTACGACATTTGTTCATAGAAGTATTTGGCATCATTATTTAACAAGGAAAGCTCTTCAATAAATTTACAATTGTACTGTTTTGCATGATCAGGTTATTACACTCTGCTTTCACCTTCCTTTCGTGGTGAATATAAAGTGGCATGATTCCTCGATCCCGATCAGCCCAATCACAAAACAACCACGTAGGAAGAATTTAACCACGAAACAAATACGTGATCAGTTGAATAAGGTTCAGTCGTTGAAAGCAATGCATTGAAGTAAACTGTGTTTGATTCTTTTGAAAACGCTGGGTCGAGAAAAAAACTACTTATGCATGGTCATAGTGTACTTCGGAAATTTCAAACAATGTACTTCATAACAAAACAGATAAAAAAACATCTTAAGCCGAACATAAAGTTGACAAATGAGATCAAAACATTTTCGAGATTTGCATGGTTAAGTAAAGTGAGAATCTGATTGCCAGATAATATAAAAACCATTCTCTTTTTCATTCGATCACACATGGAATCGCGAATAAATTTGATTTTCTTGTGGATTTTTTTCAGCTATTCGTTCAGCTAAATATGCATGAATTTTTACATATTTGCTTTGCATGGCTGTAATCCATATGCTTGACAAATTCTAAACAATTTGACATGGCAATTTGTTTTTTCAACAATTCACTGCAATTCACACTCTTTACTTTACAGTAGTTAAATTCCCATATTAATACTAAATTCTAAATATGCCGCGTCATTATTGTAACAGTAGAATCTTTATAAATTACATGCGCAATAAAATATCCAATAACAATAGAAGTATGTTTGGCTATGTTACAATGCCGTACTACATGCAATGCATATTTTAAATACGATCTCGTAGCCCGTATTACAAGCCACGTGTTCGATGTAATCGTATATTTGTGTGTCCGATTCATAATAGACATGTCGCATGGAGGGATGACCGCCCGAGTGTATGAGTTCTATATGGCTCTGGTTGTTGCAGATGTGAGATGTAGGAGTCATGACGAGAACATAGTTGTCGAAGTCGAAATTGTTCAAGAAGTCTTCAACATCAGAGACCGACGATAGAATTTGGACGTTCATCCTGGTGATATATACAAAATTCAATTAATTTATTTGAGTCAATTCAAACATTGCTAACGAATAAAGATTTCTGCAAAAGAATAAAATTATGCGTGTTAATCCGAACAAATAACTTTCAAATGATTCAAAATTTGACGAATAAAAACGCACATCCAATACACGCTGAAGGTATCCTTTCAATTCCCAATTCCTGCCCATTCATCAAAGACTCTCCATTATCGCATGCTGATTAAGCCACTAAATACCCTCGTAGTAATTAAGCAACGTAAGAAAGCTTTACTATCTGTTAGTTTAGTACCAGTCATCTTAATTCTTCACTTTTTGTGTAATAATCCATAATTTTTGCCGATTTAATTTGTCTTTTCAGAGATGATTCTACGAAACCGATATACATGAAAATTTCAAAAAAAATTCGAGTTATAGAACATCATTAAGTCATTGAAAACAACGACTGAGGAGACCTAAGAAGGTCAAGCTTCAATATGTACGCGTATTATCGAACGTTGTTCGTGGTGGTAGCTTTCACGTTTCAGCTTTGCTATAAAACACAGCGTCAGAGCATTTTAGATGCTATATCTTTTACAGCGACCGTACTTCTGAATAGTGGCGTAGTCTTCCTCCTCGAGGATGTTACTCCAAACTCAATGCCGTACTTCTACTTTTGGTGATCGTGACCGTACCGCTACTGTCGACAACTGTGGTGGTGCAGTGGTGAGAGACTCTGTCTCTCGCACCCAGCTCCCGGGTTCGAGTCCCACTGAGGACAAGTTCTACCGGGAAGCTCAGCTCATGGTCAACTCAGCCATTCAATCAACTCTGGTTGATAAATGAGTACCTGGCTTGTCCAGGGTGTGGTGTAATGCATTAAAATGGTTCTTGCGGGTCTGCGAGCCAGTGATGGTAGTAGAACTGCCAGTGATACCGAGTGCCCGGAAAAACTGACCTATCACCCCCCCCCTAGTCGCCACTACCAGGACGTGCAATTACAACAACAACAACTGTGACCGTATCGTGTTGATGACCACACCAATGATAATTGTTGGTCAGTGCTCGAAAACTTCAATCTTCTGATTGCCGTCGTTATAATTTTTTGATGTCTCTTGGCCTATCGAGTTTTCTCACGGCTAAGTCACAACCGCAGCAATGAATGTTAACCGTACAAATAGGCGAAGTTACGGCCGTTACTCGTAGATTTCTGACATTATCACATCGGCGTGGTATGAACGTGTCGAAGTTACGCGAGGCTGTTATTTCTGACCCCGCCGGCCGACGGCCGTGGCCGTTATCTACATCTGCGGAGATAGCTGCAGACCGTACTGGCGTGACGGTCACCGCAGTAAAACAACCTTCTGGGGTCAATTTTCAAGTCCTTTAATAGGCAGACGGCGCGTACAGTTAAGCCTGCCCTCGAAGTGACGCCGAATTCCTGAACTGACGGAATTTTCATCGCAATCAGACTCGCCAACTTTCAATGTAAACAACACCCTGTCCCACGGGCACGAAACAACAGCGTCTTACACACCTATAAATCGCTTCAACCCACATTCCTATTCTTCTCAACACCTGCACACAAGCTATGTTCAATATTATAGTACAAAATAAAGTCAGAATTACCTACGCTTTATTCAAGATAAGATATCATTTGAAGTTTTTGGCTCGCTCATTTAGATTAACCTTTTATGATTAATCTTTTTATGTACTGTATTACATTATATGATGTCATACTGCTTGACAAAAGGTACTTTGAACTCGAAAATATTAAATTTAGACATCGTAAGTGAAAAAATGAATGACTCTTTCTTAAGCTTTACCTTTGTGTGTTCCTCCTGGAGCAAATGGCTTATTTTAAGTTGGGCTGATCTGATACCAAGACATTATATAGGCATCGTAAGGAGGGAAGTGTATACAAGTACGCCTGTAGATAGCGATGCTCCCAAGGCTAGCCAGTAGACAGCTAATCTGAAGTAAATAAAAAAATCTAACTCAGTACTCACTACAGTGAGTGACAGAAAGCGCATTTTCTCGTCGACGAAAACGTGAAATCACGGACGGACGGACGGACAGACAGTAGGACAACAATTGTAAATTGAAAATCGATCTTTTCGAGGTTGTGGTATTTTATACGTACATAGATTTTATAAAAAATCAATAAATCAATTTCGCTCTTTTTAGAAATAATCTACGATAAATCAAAAAATTACTATATGGACTTCTCCATTTAATTAAATTTGCCTCATTAAAATCACAATTTAACTTTTTATCTTTTTACTTTTTTATATAATACATTTTATTATATATAAATTTTATATTTTTTATAAACTAACAACAAAAAACATCATTAATTTTTTAATTAATTATGTTTTTAAGGAGTCCCTTAGATCGAGCTAATCAAGGAATAAAGCAATAGACATGAATCATCATGTTGGGTTTCTTCAGCAAATTCGTAGGCCCGGTACTTGAAGAACTGAGTGGAAAATCCTAGATCCAGTCGTAATAAATTGATGATTCTTTAGTTGGCATTCTGAAACGATTTTTTGATTGAGGAATATCTTGATTTGGTTAACTCGACACGCTCTATTGAATAAACATCAGACATTTACTTGTGTATGACGCTATAGTTGAGCTTTGGCGCTTTACCCTACCCTGATCAGTTTAAACTTCAAACTGATCTGTGCTAGTATATTCCGTCATTACAATACAAAAATAGTATTCAGTGCATTTCGGTGTAGCATTTTAATTTACATTTCAATCAAAATTACTTTGTCTTTGATTGGAGATTTTTTGTGTAGGATTTTTTTGGAGTTCAATCAATTGCGAAAATTAGAAGTGTAAAATACTACATTGCGTTTGATCTAGGGAATGAAATGCGCTAAAATTTCTGCTTCTAAAATTTTCTGAAATTTTTAGTATTATTTGGATGAGAGGATCTTTTTCGTAGCTCGTGCCACGAATAACGGCCATTCGTCACCATAAAACCGCGACTAACAAAAAAAAAATTCACAAACCCGGTTACAAATTTTATAGTCTGTTATTTCATCGATCATAACATAGTATGTCGATCTATCCAGATTTTATATCTTTGGAGCATATAGAAAACAGCACCCTGAAAAGGCAAGCATTCAAATTATATTTCTTGCGATGGGCAAATTCGTTCAACTTCACATTTCTCTATTGGACCTGAGCCAACTTGTTCCGAGTTCAAATGAAAACCGAAATTTGCCTCCCAGTGATTTCATGAAGCCAGACGACGTAATAAACGTCAATAAATGCCAACAAATACCAAAGAAATGAAACTTAACAAGTGGATAACAACA